GCCATTCCATACAGAGAGCTCCGAGAAAGTGTGAGAGTGACGACCAGAGGCACTGCGTGGGAGAGAGAAGGAAGTCCAAATATGTACGAAGCATCGGTAGCGATGTGTGGTGATCAAACGATCAAGTGGTTGTTGATCGAGAGTCTGAATCTGGGTGTTTTTCTCTATTTCCCAGTCTACCGCCTTCACCCTCCTGCTGCTCCTGCCGCCTCTCAGCGTGCTGCAGTCCTGTGGTGTTGTTTCTACGTATCCCTCGCTTTGGTTAGCATTGGGAACATTCTGCGTGCTGGGAACCGCGTGTTGAGCTTCCCGCGACGATCCACGAATAGCTACCACAACAACTGCTCAAGGCTACTTTCTGCCCTGAAGACCCACCAAGCCCTTGTGCCTATTCCCCCCAACTCGACGCGCGCGCTTACCTTTCATCCCGGAGCCGGAGACGCTGCAGGTAGCTCAAGCCAGGAACTCGATACGACACCCTTATGCCAGTGCTTGTTCGGTGAACGACAGTTCCGACACTCTTTACCACACTTTCGCTGCTTCCCCCGAGAATCTACTCCGTCATCTACACCTAAAGCTTTTTTGACTAGTCATACTTACGATGTCAAGCGTTACTGATGCCGACGAATCTGCACCCACCCCCAATTGGCTTCCGCCAAAGCACCCCCTTCCGCCTCATCGACTCGCACGACTGGCCAACGCATTGGGTGTATCGACGCCACTTCCGGCCATCCACGCTCCCCCATCGCAGTCATCGTCCTCATCGTACGCGCATGTGCATCCGCTCCCCGGCCCCTCCGGATTCGACCAATTCCGGAGGTCACCCACACCATCATCTGCTTCTTCGTTCGGTTTCGCGTCCGCTTCTTCTTCAAAATACTTGCTCCATGTCATCCCTCCTCTCAATCTCCCACATGACACCGACACTTTCGACACGGGCCTGACCCCTCCACCCTCGTCGGCCTCGGGATATCACACCCAATTCCGGCGCGGGACGCTTGTTGCGGTGCATTCGACGCTCCAGTCGCAGCTCAATGCCATCGCCAAGGAATATGCGCTCCCCAGTACCACAGGATTGATTCTGTACCTGGTGAACCAGACCCGAAGTCCGCCGGCAGAGAACACCGGAAAGTCGGTGACGGACGAACTTGATGAGCCCGGGCCACGGTTATCAGAGGATGTTTGGCGCCATCTCTGGAACCGGGTACTGAAGACCGAGGAGGGCATATCTCTCGCGCCCCCCCTGCTCGGTAATGGGCGTTCTTCCCCCTATCCCACAACCTACCCTATTCCCCTGCTTGCGTCGAATCCGACTCCGGGTGGCTTGCATCCCGTCCAGCCGCGGCCCAGTTATCCGTATTCGCCCTCACCGACAACACCGTCTACCGCGTCGGACCTCCCTGGAAACAGGAGCGCGACCAAGTCGGCACCGCCCTCGTCTTCCTCCCGATCACCGTCTGAGGCTGAAACGCCCGACACCTCGCGTGCGGACTCGCTGGATCTTCCCGGGCTCCACACAGATTCGTTGATTCCTATCCTTGCCAAGGTCGAGTTTGATATCGACCGACGGAGAGCGGCGTGGTATGACCCGTGGCTGAGGAGTCGGCGGTTGAACCGCGCAAAGAGAAAGAACAGTGATGTGCGAGAGGATGAGTCGTCGGTGGAGGAGCACGGCCGGATGCTCAAGCCACCGCTCGAGCTGAGGCTGAACGGGCGCGAGAAGAACGGGAGCCCTGGGTCGCTGCCACCAGATCCGGTCCAATATTTTCCTTTGTCGGAGTCCCCTTCACCCATGGAAGACGAGGACGCCCTCGAGACAGGCAAGGACCCACTCGCCGACGTGTTTGGTTCCGATGCTGACACATGGGCAGAAGTCCATGCGGAGAACGCCGAGTATTTCGAACGGCCTACGAACCCGCACATCGTCCAGCTGGCGCTCAGTGCTGGTGAGCTCGGCGAGGACAATGCGGACGGGGGAGAGGATGATCTTGACGACGACTCGGAGCCGCAAGAAGACCTGAAAGAGATCGTGAGGCTTCTTGGCCGGTCCGAACTTGCGGATGATGTCACTGGCATTTCAAGCTCGACGTCGAAAAAACGCGCACCCCCGCCGTCGCCGTTGAATCTATCGACCCCTAGCACACCGAATGAGATGCATGAACCTGCGGAGAAGGAGCCGGTGATGCTGCCGTACCTTGACGAGGCGCCGGAGGATCAGTCCGATGCGGATATGCCTCGCAAGAGCTTGTATGATCCGGACAAGCGCGGTGGGGGATTCTATGATGACATGGATTTCGGATTCGATACTTCTGATGTCGAGGTGGGTCCAAGCTGCTCTCGAGAGCTCAGTTTGGGACTCATTTCATTCTACAGTTCGACGACCCCAATGACCGGCGCAAGAGCCAAGTCATTCTCCATGCTCAGCTTGACGAGATAGAGCGGGTGCGTTCCTTCGCTATTGATAGAGCACTTTTGCTGAGATCTTCAAGAACTTGGCCCAATTCTCACCGCGAAAACTCAAGTCAGAGCTGGAGGATGAACAGTCGTTATCTCTGGCGCGAATTGCCAGCCAGCCTACCCTATCTCCACAATTGAACAACTCTGATGTGCTTCCACCCACTCCCCGACTTGCAAGCTACTCGGACATCCATCCTGCTGATGAGGACTCGTCTGACACGTGAGTGGGCATTCTTTATCTACTTTGACTAGTGTCTGAGTTCTGTTCAAGTGAGGACCTGACACGACAAGCTTGGCCTGCTGTTCCGTTCAATGCGCTTCCAGACCGTGCACCATCACAAGCAAGTACGGCGCCGCGACTAGCGCTGAACGGGGTCAGCACTTCCATGCCGAGTCGGTTCCGCGCCAACAGCCGTGCTGGGCCGAGCCCCAGTCCGTCCGAGTCCGACATGCGAAAGCAAGAGCACGCTGAGGCGTATCCAGCGTTCACTCCTGCGATCGAAGCCAAGACCTCGCTGAACTCGCCGTTGCTTCCTCTGTCGCCTGACCCGTTTGGGCGACACCCTTCCTCGAATGATACCAGACGCATGTCGCAGTCGTATTGGGACGCCCCGGCGGTCGTCCCCGCTCGGAGTCGTACTCCGGGTGCCGCGCCGCAGCCGGCCGAAGCGCCGAAGGTTGAGCGCAAGCGGTCGACATCAACGACTTCAGGATCATTGAGCCGGTTTTCCACAGAGTCTTTGAGAGGGCTAGCTGAGAGGCAGAGCAATCGGGGAACGATTATGAGCGTGAAAGGGATCAAGAGCCTCTGGAGGAAGAGTCACAAGAATTCGCCGTCTGTGTCTGTCATCTCACCTGTCTTGGAGAACGCATTCTCGCCATTATCACCACCCCTTCCGCCACAGAGGCCGAACCGACCGTCGATGGAGGAAATGCAGTTTCCCGATGTGGAGGTTGAGGTCCCGATACCCAAGACGCCCATCATGGGCTCTTTCCCTTCAAGTCCGCCGCCGGTGCCGCCGTCACCGCGGCTGTCACCGCGACCACCACCGCAAGAGATGCCGATGCCGCCAACTCAGTTCCGTCCGGGCCAGTACATGGTCCCTCCACCCATGCTGCAATCGACGAATCGTGCGCCGATCATTGCAGCCAAGGCCGGGCCGATGTCCCGGAAGACATCGAGCGACAACCTGGAATGGGACCAGGAGTCGCCATATCCCACCCGCAAGGCATCGCTCACTTCCTCCGTAGCGACCAGCAGCCGGTCCCACACTCAGACACCGCCACCGAGCTCGAGTCCACCGAACCCAACACCTGCGCCGCTTCCGTCTGAACGCGACAGGAATGCGACTCGCAAGTCGATCCTCAAGTGGAAGGCAGCGGCAACGTGACCGGTGGGGTTCCCGCGCCGCTGACGCCCTCGGCGACAAGTTTCAACCGGACGCGGATGGGGAGCGTCACGGGGTCGCCGCCCCCGTCGTCCCACGGGTCACTCAACGGGGGGTTTGATATCCCGCCGAGCCCGAAGATCCCGGACCAGTTTGTGCCGCCGGCTACTCAGCAGCAGCAATCGCCGCCGCGAACCCGGCCTAATTCGGCGGCGATCGCGCGTCGGCGGGTGAGTGCCAAGATGCAGAGCGTGTCGACGACCGAGACGTCGTCGTCTTGGCGGCACCGGACGCAGGAGAGCATGACGTTCTCCTCGTCGGACGACACACATGAAAGCGCGACGATCTTGGACACGTCTGCGTTCGAGATCGTGTCGCCGAAGATGGGCGCGACGCTCAGCTTTCCTTACGCGAACGTTGATTCTGGGGCAGTCTAGCCGTATTTATTTACTTGCCTTGTATACCGTTCTCTGCTGTATCTTCACACTCAGTAATTTTAATGACACAGTAGCATTGGATCTCAGCGTCAGTCTGCGGCTTTCGGCATGCGTGAACATCAAGTATATAATTCCGTTCAGAGGTACCCATGTGCTGTCTAATAAAGGGCTTGAAAACACTCGGAATCACGCAATGCAAAGATCACAGCAGATAATCGTCATCTACCATATCATCATCCCAAACCATCGCACTGAATCTCCCATGGCAATCGCGAACACTTCACGGAAATTTAACACCCTCCGTTCTCCTCGAAGGTCAGGACTGCGCTTGGAAGTAGTGGGAGCACGGATCGCTTAATTTGCCGCTGCTGAGATCTAGGCAGATGAGCTGCCAGTGAAAGTCACTTGAGCCATGGGTTCATGAGAATCCAATTCAATATCGTTTCGGCGAAACAACAACTTGCTTATAACAGCATCTGTCGACATGCCCGGCCACGAAATTTCCATGTCAGAGAGTTGTTATGAATGCCTGAAGACTGTACCTAGGCACTCGTGCTCTACCTCGTGTGGCGGCTCGACCCCACTTAACAAGCTGGAACGTTCTGAAGCTTGAGGTGGGAACCTAATACTAGATCGACGCCACATCGCGAGGCACGTGAGAAACGCGTGAGTCTGCCTCAAGCTTCCGAATCGAAGTGGCAGCAGTGCGCAAAAGAACGGCGGATGGAACTCTCCTGGCATCCGCTGCAATGTCCTAGTTCATCGGAGAGATCTGGTTGTAAAAAAAAACAGACATTTTCAGACAGAACGCTGAGGTATCGATCATACATGCGCGAGTCTACATCTAGTAGTACATGCCGGGTGGTACATTTGTGTGTCAATGGATCATTCGTCAAGAATCGTGAAAGGGACCGAGCAGAGGACACAGCTCATCGACCAATCCCTCATCGACAGCACAGCCGTCGAGAAGACGAGAAGAATGAGTTAGTCCGGTGCCGGCCAAGTCGTAGCCTCCTTTCCCTGACTGGAGGGAAATGCGTGAATGAAAAGCGAGCGTAAGGGTTGTCGTGATCTCATCGGCAGCCGTCGAAGAGCTTATCCAGCGACCACGTGGTATGTACACAGTCCCGCTGTATGTTGTGTGCGATCGTGACCGAGCACAGGAGACATTCTTCGGGTGCATGGATTCCTGCTGTATCCGATCGCAGCACAGGCCAGCCGTTTCGTGGCGCAACCAAGAAAGCGCAATCCAATCCCATCACCAACACAAAATGGCAGGAGCGAGCCAAACGCGAGCGAAGCCTCACAGAGGCTGGCAGACACCTGGCAGCATCGATGTCTCGATCCTCGATCAACGAGATCAGACACGAGGCAGCGTGCGACGATGCATCAGATTTCGCACGGGCCACGCGGCAAGCGCATAGCACGATCGGATGGCTGGCGTCGACTTCTTTGTTGGGCGTGATTCCGGGGCTCGTGACACGGTCTTGGATGATAAGGAATTGAAATGCGGTGTGTGATGATGATAAATGTGCAGCGTGGGATATGGTGGTGCAAGAGAAATGTCTGAGACGTAGCAAGCAAAAAAGACACGGACGGAAATGGAGCGGACGCGGGACAAACAGAGCCAGAGCTCCTTCAGAACCCTCCATCAGACGGGGATGGAGTGGTGGTCTGGTGAGCCTCTTCGGAGGGATCAACTACTCCGGATGCATCGGCAAAGCTCGAGGCGGAATGAGTTCGTGCGTTCGGTGCCTCGGGAGGGGGAGACAACGGACGTCCGTCGTACATTCCCGGCGAGGCCGGCTCGAGTGACGTCCCAGCACCAGCGAGCTTCTCGTTCAATGTCTGCAGACGATGGATCTCCTGCTCGAGGGACGCGACACGATCCTGAAGGGCCTGATTCTCCCCTTCGAGCAAACTGATGTGCGATGTCGCTAGTCGGACGATTAGTTCGAGGCAACCGAGATACCATCCGCGACGAGAACGTACCTCGATCTAGAAGAGACACTTTGCTGCTCTTCTGATTGGACAAGGGAAGAACGTCCTTCAGTTTAGCATAGCCATCGCGCAGCTCGTCGCGTCGGCGCTGTTCGGCTTCGATGCGCTGGCGACGCGTCGCTTCCTTCCGATTATGAGCCAGATTTTCCGTGGAATACACGAGCGCCAGCTCGTCGTCGTCAGAGTCTTGGGAACGTCCGCGGCGGCGGCGACCAACTGAGCTGGTGGGTGATGGCGTAGGATCGTAACGGACGTGACGGTGGACGAGGCTGTTGGCGCGGCTCGACGATGGGGAGTTAGCGCCGCTCGAATTCGATCCGTGATAGAGCCCGTCGGATGTATCTGAGCCAGAGAGTGGAGGGGACAGGGGATCGTACATGTCAGGTGAAGGAGGAGGAGGTGAAGCCGGGATACTTAGGCCACCATGAGGAGGGCTTGGAGAAGGAGGATATCCTGAGCCTGGGACCTGATATTGATGGTGATGCGCAATGAGGCCGTGGTACTGCGTCTGTATAGGATGGGGCGATTGCAAGTCCAGTTGCCCTCCTAGGGACGAAGAACAAAGACCGCGGTTAGTTATCCGATGAACACGAGGCAACAACGTTACACGCACGCGACTGAGAACCGTGCGGTACGGCTACTGGATACTGACCCATTTGTACAGACTGGTAGCCCATATAACCCTCTGGCTCAGCCTGCGGATAAAACCCATAATTGCCTTCGTGTTCCATGATTCAAGTGAATTTGCCGTAGAGGGGGATGGTGATAGGAATGCTGGGGGAAAGAAGCGTGTGGGGCGTAGCGGTCGTCGAGAGTTCGTGAAGGAAGAGGTAGAAAACAAGAAACAATGACTGCCTAGTACTTCGTCCGGCTACCGTCCGTGTCCGCTCTGGCGGCTGTTCTCCGAGACAAGTGTGCCTTGTTTGTACACCACTACAATTACACCGTCCACAAATTATGTATTCTTCCTTGTCCTTCCGTCATTTCTCATTATCCTCCGAGGCCGTTAAACGCTTCCATTGTCTGTTTGCTATCGTCTAGACCTTTAATTACCCCGAACACCAAATACAATCGCCCATCTGTCATCCATATCGCTCTTTGTGGCCTCATGGGCGCCTTTCTTCAACATACCAGGTAAAGACACAAAGTTTATTCTTTTTTCGCAACTTCCTTACCCCGCAGCGACCCTGTGAGATCACTGAACACCCAAACGCGACTTTAAGATTCCACGGGATCTTGGGATCTTTGATGGATCCCCCTCCCGTTATCGATATACCCGTCGATCAGCGATTCGAGATTCGGGACGGGAACGCGCTGTGCATGGAAGACCTGACTATCACTGCATGAGTGCGGCCAATATACATTCGGAAATATAGCTTGAGTCCTCATTCTCCGGCACGATTGGCTTCCTGAAATCTGGAAGTAGTCACCCAGATTCTCAATCCGGAACTAGATCGATGAAGCTCTGAAGTGTGACCGGGATTAAATTTTCACTGTCACAAGTCACCCTCTTGTCCTTCGTCCACCATGTCGAATGCAATATTCGCCTTGTTCTCGAAATAGGTATGTCTTGTTCTCCTCTGGTCCAACCTACCGCCCTGCTCTCCTTCCATATTCCACATGACGATATCATCCGATTTTAGGAAGTGCCGTCTGAAAGCCTCCGGACCTCGGTCTGTGGAGCTGCTTATGACGCTTTCGGTTCTCTGATACAAACCCGCTCTTTCCCCTTGCCCTGCTTCGCGTCTATTGTCTAGTCACCGTGCTAACCCGCGTCTTTCTCAGGCGTCGAGAATGGATGCCGTGCATCCGTTGGGTACGGGAAGAATGAAGCTGCGGATGCAGTTGTCTACTCGTGGGTTCTCGCCGTGGTTCTCTTGTTCTTCTCGCTCGTACCACTTTCCTTGTATTATGCAAGAAATGCAACCTGATTTCCCGTCTTATTGTTCTGTCTGTCCCGTGAGCTTCGTTGCGTAGTTCGCGACTTCCCAGGCGCCATCATTAGGTACTGCACTGACATATGCTTACTCCTATCTCCGCCGCTGTGTCCGGCCCTAACCCACGGATGCTGATTACTGACGAGAATAAGATTCGGTCCGCATAGTATACACATCTGATATTTACGACAACGTTTAGAATCCGAAGAGTCTGAAAACAAGATACAAGAACGATCCAGTGAAGCGCACCGCCGATAGACCAGCTCTGCGAACGATTGATGAGCAGAGCACGAAGCACAGGGCTGAGTACTCACAGGGCGAAGAACAAAAACTGGAGGTATGGGTTGAATTGAGAGTTTCCGGTAGTCGTCACATGCTTGGCAACGAAGTTGGTGAAGGCTGCGGACGTGAACACGACAATCATAAGCATGTTCGTCCCGACCCAGGCGAGGACGACATTGGTCCGGCTGTTCCGGTCGTGGTCCGTCTGCTTTGTGGCAGCATCGCGGTGCTCCTTGACTTGGGGAGGCGGAACTCTCAACGCGCTGCGCGAGGCATTCCAGAGCTGGTCAACATCTTCCCGCTGAGTGAGCAACTCGACCTCCATCATCTCCTTCCCGTCGGCGTCCTTCACTTTGTTGGCCCCGCCGAGATCCTTTTGGGCGCCATTGTCTCCCTTCGTACCCCATGTGACATCGTGCAGATTGCACATCGCGTACATCACTGCAGTAAAAGTCAGCATTGACCAACCAAAAAATTGACTGCGCACTAAGAATGTTGACATCTGCAAGTCCGAGTCAGCGAGATCCCAATGAGGAGAATGACGAGACTGACAAGAAGGGAGGAAGAACATATACTGGATGAAGCTGGTGAACATGTGCCAAGGCTCCAGGTGCATGAAGGAGCCGATGAAGTACAGCCCGTAAGTAGCCATCAACGAGATGACGATATCCCGGAACGTAGTGTTGGTGGACAAAAGGGTTCCAAAGTGCTTCCACTCGGTGAGTGTGACCTTTGAGACGGAAAGGTACACTGTGTATGCCGCACACCATAGTGTGATGACATTGCACAACCCAAAGAGAATGATGGCAGCGATGTATGTGAATTTGGATCCTTGTGGCCGGTTGCCCAAGGAGCAGACCACGATGACGAACAGTAGAGCGATGTAAAGCTTCAAGAACACCTCGAACACATCTTTGCCAGCGCCAACGCTCAGGAAGTTGAACGCATCGGTGTTGGCATTCGCAGTTGCTGAGCTCACGAGGAAGAAGAATGCGAGGTAGAAGTTGGCGAGCGAGGTCCAGGTGAAGAGCAGCTGCACCGCATTGTATATGAACTCGAGTTGCAGCACGATTTTCCGGAAAAAGTTCTGGCCAGATGTCCAGATGCGGAACCAGAACACAGTGGCGTGAATAGAGGCGAAGAGCGAACCATTGAGCCAACGACGTCGCTGAGAGATGAATTCGTCAACGGATGTTGGCACATCCGTAGCTGCTTTGGCGCTCTTGACGTATTTGAGGCTGTAAAAGGTTATCGGGAAGCTTGGATGGATAAATCAGAACACGAACATCCATCCCTCGCGTTTCTTGGTGACAATTTCAAAACACAGGATACGATCCTCAGCAAGATACATGTTACGCTGAAGAGATCGGTCAGCTGGGAAGATAACCATGATGTCTGTTTCACCTCTACAAAAAAGTCAGAGAGCTGATTACAGAAACCTCAAGGCGTGACATACCAAAAAGTCCAGCACCATTGACTCCCCCACCGTGCATGGTTTCACCCTTGAAATACGAGGCGAGAGGTCCTTTTCCATCGGGCCCGTTCTGGAGAGCACGATATCGGTAAGCACTGAAGGCACCGGGAAGAACACTGATATATCTGGAAGGTCCTCAGAAAGGTTGCGCCTCGAGCCGATATATATAACTGACCCGAATACACTCTCTAGAGGCTTGTCGAGGATATTCGACATCTTGTATTCAAAGTTCTGCGAGGCAGCGAGAGGGGAAGTCAAGAGCAGAGAGCAGCCGCGACCTACGTAACGTCAGTCGAGAGCGAGAAGAGTGGATGTTTGAAAGCACCTGTGTCAACGCAGATCTCCCCGCAGGCACCGCCAACATTGGAATGCTTATCGAAGCACTAATTAAAACTCAGAAAAAAGCTCAGCCGTTCGAGATACTGGACAAGACCTTCCACAGCTCGTAAATCGACGTTCCCGTGGGTTTGGTTCCGACATCGAGCAGAATGCAAACATTCTTATGCAGGAACATCAATTGAAGTGTTGGGAGATCAGAGTAAGTCATGAACGCACCGGTTTGATGAGAGGACCAAAGGCGTTGAAGAACCAACGGTGACTGTTGAGTTTCTTCTTGTTCTGTTCTTTCAAGCAGAAGATGATCTGCACAGGACAGGTGCCTTGAGATACCTCTCCAGCAGCGGTCGCAATCACAGTGGAGGTGTACTAGCGGAAATGAGATGGGAAATTGAAATATGAAAAGAGGGTCACCTCGAAAATGTGTGCAGTAACGTCCTTCCCGCCAACAGTGTCCTTGGCGATTCCATCTTGGTAGACGCCCATCAGACTGAGAACTTGGAGGGTCCGCTTGTTGACCTATACGTCTTATCAGTGCTTGATTCAGTCCGACCAAGCCATGACATGCCTTGCTACGACCATCCGAGACAACACACACAACGACTTTCTTCCAGCCTTCGGGACCCCACATTTTGGAGCGGTCGCGACTGCAAAGATGCGCGATATTCTTGATGACCGCGTTCATCGTCTTTGTGAACAGGATCTCATCTTCGTTATACATGGTCATGACGATGAACAGCTCGGTCTGGCGCCCGTACAGGAAGGGCCGCAACGAGTACTTCGAACGTGCGAAGTCGTCGGGATCGCCTATCGATGCGACGTCAAAATAAGCGTGTTAATTATAGCATTCAAGCGCGTACAAGTTGCAGCAGTCTGTGACGTGTGAGTGAGCGAAGGGAGCAAAGCAACCGGACCCAACGTACATATCTCATCTTTGAGAATTCATCCTCATTCGCTCGACTAGAGGACACAATGTGCGTTGGCACAGGCATATCCAGGACGAGATTCCCCTGAACAAGTTCGACCTTGCGGACGGACCGCCGTTTCATCATCTTCTCTTCAACCACGCTGTAGCCAGAGCCATTGCGCTGTGGCGGGTAGTTGGGACCGAATCCGTATGGCACGTTGGGCACGGGCGGAATGGTAGCCTGGCTGTCCCATCCAGACGGGTTCAAATGCGTTTGGGATCCCGCGTAGCTGTCCTGATACGATTTCCCATCCCAGGCCTGTTCGTGTCCAGTGGACTGGTTGTCATAATAGCCTTCGGACTTGTATCCCGACTGTGAGTGCTGGTATCCTTGGTCGTATTGGGTCTCTTGACGCTGCGGCTGCTGGTACGGCTGCTGGTAATGCCCGGCCGGTTGCTGGTATTGCTGTTGAGGCGAATCGTAGTACTGATTCTGTTGGTGGGTATTCTGCGGCTGGGAGTAATAAGGACCGTCGTGTTGCCTGTAGGCCATGGGAAGGGAAGCGAGAGGAGTACTAGGATCAACCTAGCAGCTCAAGGTGGTGGAGGGAAAGAGAAGAAGAGCAAGGAAAATCCGTAACCAACGCTTCTGCTACATCAATCTGGGCATCAAAGATATTGTGCACAGCCCGCTCAGGCCCTCCGGCGAGTTGGCCCCGCCCAGACAATCCAGAGGGTGAGAAACCCGCGAACAAAATATATAACAAAGAGTATGTAGTGAGAACGGGCGGCGGACAGGTTTTATTGCGCAACATTGGGCCTGAGATTGCTTCCGTCCAGACTTGACATGCGCGATCTCAGCCCTGAAGGCGTCCTATAATAGAATCCATGCTTCGCAATCGTGACTTGGCAAACATAAGGCAGAAAGGGAAGAGATGGACAAGGGCGCCCGCCAACAGTAGAGAACACAGTCCAGAAAGGCAATCATGTATACTTCAAGTAGACAAGACTGGGAACAGGGCTCATTGGAGCTTGGTGCCGATGTGCCGGGGCTAGCCCGGCTTTCCAGCGATTGATAAGAGACACAGTCAAGCTGTTGTTGGTAGAATGTCGGCAGCATGACTAAAGGCTACTAAAGTGAGAGGAATCTCAGAGCAGCCCGGATGAGACAGCAATAGAGTCACAGGACGTGGCCGGGACTCGGGTAGAAGACGTTTCTCCGCGTGTGTACAGATGGTTTAGCATCGGGCTGTGAGGGATTTACAGCCTTGTGAGAGTACAGCCTGAAAAGGGCCTGCCCTTCTTGCCCAGGGCAGTCCAGACGTCATTTGAGTGGGATGCAAGCAGGCCGGTCCCGCTCCCTGAGATGACAAAGTAAAGAGCGGCTCCTGAGGCAGATTGGACGACGTTCGACATTCTCAATCTAGGTAATCGAACAGATTGCTAGGGCTATGTTTCGAATCCATCGATTACGGCGGTCGGGAGCAACTGTTGGCGCTTGTTCGGACTTTAACACAGTCGGAGTTTCAACCTGGCAGAGGCACAGCCCCCACACCCCTTGTTGTCTTCATCATCCTTCCCCTCCCGGGCCTTCTCTGTGTCTCTCATCTCTCAGTCTCCCTTCACGACTTTTCTCTGTCTCAGTGAGTTGTGTGCTCATTCGTGTTTCAATTCTTTTTGTACCGGTGTGGTCGATTCAAGTCGTTGACGTGGTGTGGCACTCTCCCATTTGTGGGCCCACATTCGAACCTGCGACATTCACGCCTCCTGATTCAGGGCTGATGTCCTACATACGACATGCGACGGCGAGGCTAGATGGAACGTTGTTTCAATGAGAGTTTCCCTGACTCGTGTGTTACACCTGCGTTCATTTTGCCTCGCTTCCCAGCCCTTTAAATTTCCATGCATCGATCGTCTTTCGTCCTTCTTGCTTTTTTCCCGCTCCCGAGCCTTGGAACCCTGTGCTCAACCACCCTTCCCAGTTTCATCTATCATCATCGCGAATGACGGAAAGCACGCACAGACTCGACCTCCGAGTGGGCGGAAAGTATAGGCTCGGTAAAAAGATCGGTTCTGGGTCTTTCGGTGCGCCGCATGGTACATCTGCTTCTACGTTCTGGCTTACGTTCTTCTAGGCGACATCTATCTCGGGATAAACATCATCTCCGGAGAGGAAGTAGCCATCAAGCTCGAGTCAGTCAAGGCCAAGCATCCCCAGCTCGAGTACGAGTCCAAAGTGTACAAGACCCTCGCAGGGGGTGTCGGTGTTCCATTCGTTCGATGGTTCGGTACGGAGTGCGACTACAATGCCATGGTTCTCGATCTGCTTGGCCCCTCTCTGGAGGACTTGTTCAACTTCTGTAACCGCAAGTTCAGCCTCAAGACGGTCTTGCTCCTTGCTGACCAATTGGTATGTCAGCTTATCTTTGACTCAGGGCCGGCATCTGACGCCGTTTGGCAGATTTCTCGAATCGAATACATCCACTCGCGCAACTTCATTCATCGCGACATTAAGCCCGACAATTTCCTGATGGGCATAGGAAAGCGAGGCAACCAGGTCAATGTGATTGACTTTGGTTTGGCCAAGAAATTCCGCGACCCAAAGACCCATCTCCATATCCCGTACAGAGAGAACAAGAATCTGACCGGCACAGCCCGTTACACGTCTATCAACACCCATCTTGGTGTCGAACAAGCCCGTCGGGACGATCTCGAGTCACTCGCATACGTCCTCATGTACTTCTTGCGCGGCGCACTCCCCTGGCAAGGACTTAAAGCGGCGACGAAGAAGCAGAAGTACGATCGCATCATGGAAAAGAAGATGACGACGCCCACCGACCTCCTCTGCCGTGGTTTCCCCAACGAGTTTGGAATTTTCCTGAACTACACCCGTGCTCTTCGCTTCGACGACAAGCCTGACTATTCTTACTTGCGCAAACTTTTCCGGGATCTCTTTGTTCGCGAAGGTTATCAGTACGACTACGTGTTCGACTGGAGTGTGCAACGTGGGGCGCAGGACGATGCTAGCGCGGGCACGAGCAAGGCTGCGCCTGGGGGCAGGCGCAAGGTTGTCCAGGAAGAGGAGGACCACCGTGCCAGCGACAGAATGTAAGGTTTACCGTTCCCTTTGTTCGATGAACAGGTGCTGATACTGGATTCAGGCTGCGTTCGCACACGCGTCAGGCTCAGCAGTCGCCTGGTGCTGTTGGTCAGCAGCGGCCTGCACGTGGACGGGAATCGGATCTCTGGTAGATGAGCAGTTGGGCTTCTGTCTCTGGAGTGTTGCGGGTACGTCCCAGGAGAGGCTGAGCAAGGGGGAGGATGGCAGGTGAAAGCGGTGTGCTCAGTCAGTTTATGGAAGGGGGTCACCACGGTTGTGTGGATTCGAAGAACGCAAGGAACCAGCGCGCGCGGTTCACATTAGAGAAACGCGGCGTCGACAATGCCCGGTCCCGATCGCCTTCTTTCTCGGTTTCTACTTATTGCGTCGAGCGGCACGTCGAGCACTTCTTTTTGCGCGCGCGACGCGACAGACAGCACCGTCATCGACCCCCCAGGTGCTACATATCTTTAATCCACGGACGCTATTTCTTTTCACGCCAGGTGTCCTTTGCGGCACGCTCGGCCGCCCTTACTTCCTGATCGCCTCTCACACATGCCCCATTATCATATTGTGCGCCCGTGTCTGTTTGTTCAACCACTAATTTCCTTCCACTTGCTACTACCATCCCCAATCATCCCATTACCAGCGCACTGTTGCTTTCCTGTACATATCGATCCATACGTCCACGATTATCCCAACACACTCCTTCCCTGGTCCTTTTTTCCCTTCCCCGTCACGATTTGGCTTGTCATGTTTCCCCCCCTGGCTCCTGCATTTGTTGTCCTCCATTCTAGGAGAGGGCGTCCCGGAGAGGTGTTGGTTGGTGGTGAAGAAGGTTGGATGGCTGTTTGTTGCTAGCATATAGTCGTATACAGATGAAATTCTATACATGTTATAGCCCGAAGCAGTCTACTCGGAATTACTCCAGTCGAGCAGTCGTGTTACACCGCCGTGCCAGTCTCGCACTCGTTTAGCAGCGATCCAGCTCATTGTGCTGCCTTCTGTGCCTACGTGTCCGATCCCTGCAGACAGAACGACAGAGTCGATGAGGATCGGATACCAGACCCCCAATCGCTCGCGCGTCTTGAGTCCCACGTGGTCGATGTAGTGCCAGCCACGGGCGGAGACCAGCTTCCACCACTCGGGGTCGTCTTCGTCACTTGTGATAATCACGTGGCGGACGTGGATGCCTCGCTCGGCCAGTTCTGCCTGGACCTCCTCGACTTGCGCCGCATAGCCGTCGAGTGTCGGAAGGCACAGACCTTGCGAGATTTTGCCTCCGGAACAGTATGCTTTGAAGTCGTCCCGGCGCGCGTGGATGCTGATGTACTGTCACCCGAGCCAGATTGAGTTGCCACTCACTTAGTGTTCACAGACAGGGGGAAAACGCACGGGTGGGATCAAATCGACGCCGCCGAGCGCGATCCGAGTGTATTCTTCGGCGAGTTTTTCTAGACGTGGCGTCCAGCGCATGTATCTTCCGACGAATCGCCATGCGGGGCTGGACAACGTTGATTTGCTTAGTATACGCGAGATCCTAGCTTGAAGGAGGCAAGATTTGTCTCACCTAAAATCGAACTGGAATTCCAGGCCCTGCCGGATCGTGAGTGACTTGGTCTGGAAGACTAGAAGCCGGTGGTTCAACGGACCTCGAGGGCGACGGCATAGTAAACGAAATCGTAGCACAGCAGATGCTCATCGGGTGGGAGCGAAACATGCTTGATGGGTGAAGGCTCCGGGGGCACCAGACTTGCCTTACGTTTGTCTGGGAAACTCAGCGCGGCCAGAGACCAGAACGACGACCAGGGCTCAGTCGGGATGTATGGCTTCAGACTGATCCACGGAGGTGTCTTAGTGTACGAGATGTCTGTGGCGTGATCGGTCAGCATGCGGTGAAAAATGACAGACCGTGTATGGGGGCACGCCGCACCGAGATTTAGGAGATCGGATATCCAGGTTTCTCGAGGCGCAGGATCATGCGTCTCCTGCTGCTTGAAGTTCATCGTGGCCCAGACGTTCCAGCACCCAAGCTCGTCGATGGTCTCGCTCTCAGCATCCTTCACCTCGCGCCATTCCAGCACCGGCCTGCCCAAGAGCTTGCGAAATCGAGGCAGGTCGAAGACCTCACTGAAAGGTATGGTGATGATGCCCCGGATGTGCGTCGACAAGAACTCGGGGAGGATGGGCACCCGGTCCGTCAAAATCCCGAGATACACTAGATTGGACTGGGGTGTCGTACTGTGAGTGGGATCATCAACACACTGAGACAGAGAGAGCGCACAAAAGTGATGACATCGTTAGCTAGATCGATCGTGAGCACAATAGAATTGCAGAGGTGATGAGGATGGACGCACTCCAGCCTGCTGATGCGCCCCATGATGAAATGTACCTTGTCTCGTTGAGCAGGTTATCTGTAACGAGAGGGTTCAGAAAAGCGAGCAGACAGGCTATTGGCGGTGCGCGCCTCGAAAAGAGTATGTGGGCGGTCCCCGTACAGGAGCGAAGGCGTCATGGGCGGCACCCGAGCCATCGTGGCCGTGACCACCAGAATTTTGAGATCCAGGAACATCCCCCGTCCGCTGAGAGTCGTGCTGAGGCACCGCGGAATCAACCTGTGCGCCACTATCCAATCCCACCTCGTGTCCATTCTGGAAGTAGCGTGACGGCCATAACTGAAACAACGTCGAGAAAAACAGGAGAGCGAGAACGACGCTGAGTATCCGGCCTCTGAGACTGAGCGTAGATATCATCCTGGTCCAGTGAGCGGAGAGGAAGGTCATGGCGTGCAGAGAGGATGCCGCCTCAGGGGTTCAGTCATTCATCTCTTAGCCGATCCGCATATCGTACTTAATGGGCCCTGGCTGCCAAGCATTTTAGCGATGTCCATGTCTCCTCGGTGAAAAGGATGAATGAAGATAGATGAGGAGCACGTGAGCTTGGAGGTTCTCTTGCACGGAGACGACTCGTTTTTGAGGATGCTATTCACGATCCGTAAACATTTAGGAGGGCAGCCAAGTATCCTGATGCCTAATATGGCATCAAGATGGAAGGGGAAAGCCTAAGAAGGGTCGAGAGTCTTTGAGGGTTCATTCATCTACTGAAGAGCAGGAGTAGGCTACAAGGAGAGTACGGACCAGAAATAGCTCTCGTAAGTCACGTGGGGCGCGTCGGTGAGTCAGCATTACTCACGCTAATAATACTCGATTGCCCACTGACATATGCGACGCGCGTCTTCTTCGGGTTTTTTACTTCTTCTCTCATGGCGGATACATATGTGCAATCTTTCTCTCACCTCAAAGGTCGGCCAAAAGAGCAGCAAGCTCTTGAAATGCTCAAGAAGATCGCGTCTCTGGTCAAGCCTATTATGCGCAAGCACAATTGGGTCCTTCCCGTGCTGTGCGAGTTCTTCCCAGCACAATCCAATTTGCTCGGTGTGTTCTGTTGCCTCAGGGATCTCTACTGGCTCATCCAGGTGCAGGCTTAAGTAGGTCGTCTCGCGACTCCTCTGACCCGTTCGTTCTGTGATGGAGCGGGAACCACAGATGTGAATATGGGACAGAAGATCCTCGTACGTTTACGACCGCGCATTTCCCCGACACGTTTATGGAGCTCGAAGAGGTAGTTGGGACCATGCTGCACGAGGTAGGTGCATCGATTGGACTTCCGGCGTTCAGACACCCCGGGACCGACCAGATGACCAGCTAACACACAACGTGCACGGCCCCCACGACGACAAGTTCTACAAATTCCTCTCCGGCCTTCAGGACGAGTACGACGCGTTGCAGCGGTCAGGGTACGCCGGAGAGGGCTTCTACAGCAAGGGGAACAGGCTCGGGGCGAACGTGTCGCACGACTTGCCTCCCCACCTTGCCCGCACCAAGGCTCTGGAAGCTGCCGAGAAAAGACGCAAGGTCACTGCCGTCTTGGGCAGTGGAGGGAGATTGGGCGGTGGTGGATCGAACTCCAGATTGTCTCCCCGAGAGCAGGCAGCGCGCGTGAGTGCTCTAGCGTAGCGATCATTCCACACTGATTTGCAACGACGGACTGTTTATCAGGCCGCGGAACGTCGGGCTCGGGACGAGAAAGCCTGTGGCGTCGGTGAATTAGCGCTGCAAGAGGCCGACAAAGCGGCAAAGGAGAGCGTCGTGCACGAGGTGATCGATCTGACCGAGGACTCGGACGACGTTCAGATCGTGGAGAAGCCACGCAGCGCTGTGTCGGGGAAATCAGCGACTGCTCGGCCGCGCCCGAGGATTCCTATCCAACCTGTTCTTCCACAGGAATGGATATGCTTGGTCTGCACGCTGATCAACGCAGCGGCGAGCACGCACTGCGAGGTCTGTGCGACGCAGCGGCCACAAGACAAGTCGTCCGGGTGGTCTTGTTTGACGTGCGGCGCGACTGATATGCCCCACGAGTTTTGGTCTTGCAGGTTATGTGGTTCAATCAAAACAACCTCTTGATCTCTTCACTTCCCCGGTCCTTGTAGCCCTAGCATCATCTTGTACTCTCATATATTCTGAATAGATTTACACCATTATTTGCATCGCTTCCCTCGCTGTCCACCAGCACTGGCAAAGGGTCGTCCACCGCGAGCCTTTCCATTTCAGGCCATTGTCTAATGGGAGCAGTTCAAGAAGGAAGCAGTCTAGTCTGTGCGCGCGAAGCATACCTCCGACCGACTGCACAAACAGATCCATCGTATCCGGATTTCTGACTGTCAGCGCAATCAAAGCCGTCTTGGGCCGACCAGTTGAAAGCGCCAGTCGGAGAATGGCGACGAGCGCTGGGATCAGGGTAGGATCGAAAACTATGTCTGCTCCCAATATGATGTCGGCATCAACCTCGTTTACTAACATCGATCGGACCGTGTCGATTTCCGCAGGGTCAAGAGCGACTGACCAGTCCAGGAAGCGACACTGGATGCTTGGATGCGACGCAGACCGATCTGCAAGCCAAATTCAGTGAATAATGCATCGGTGCAGGACCTTGAAATCGAGAGTACGCACTGCATTCCAGCTGTACATTGGCTTGACACCGGACGAGAACAGACTCGTTCACATCCGACAGCCATATCGAATTGGGTGCGTCCTCCAGGATTTGAATCGAGCCGACGACACTCCCGAGGAAGCCTATCCCAGCTCCGAGCTCGAGCACCCGTTTGCCGCAGACAATAGCTGATCATCGTAAGTCGTCCATCTTCCAGGGACCAGACCGCTGCCCAATCCTACCGGGATGAGCAACGAGATACTGCGCTAGCACAAAGCTAGCCAGCCACGTGCGAAGCCCCGTCGTCCCGCTCTCGATCAGGGTCCTCGACTCGCGCAGTGTCGTCGTTTCGTACGAGTCCTCGTCGCCAGGTGGCTGCCAGATATACGTGATGTAGGATTCAGCAGGCGGCCCTGAGACAAGATCGGACGCGTTCAGGAGGCCGAGATAGTGCGAGTATATGCGCGAGTCGATCTCTAGGTCCAGTCCCTCCTGGCGACGAGTGGGCCACAGATGCTAAGTTTCGGAGGCGTGGAGCAGCACTTACGTCGTCGTCTTCCGAGGCCAGTTTTCGTTCCAGCAGAGGTATCACCCATTTCCAAAACGTTTTCTGGTATTGAAGAGACGGGGGATATGTCTGCAGGTGCTCAGATGTCAGCAGCGAGAGAAGAAACTCGTGGATGGCAGCAGTGCCGAGATGCGAGGGGAATGCGAGTTGGGTGGGTGATCTGAGGGAAGAGTAGCCTCTAAAAAGCTGGAACAGATCAGGGTGTATAGCTTTCGACCCGAGGCGCATGAGGATCTTGACTGTAGTGATAAATGGACTAAAAGGAAACGCGGTCAGGTGATCGCATCATGTATAAGCTGCAGGGCGGTGTCCTCAACACCTTTCAGACTCACAGATCGCGCTCCCAGTGCTCCTCATTGAGAAATATTCGCTATTCTGATTACATGTACCAGATACGCTCATCTAAGTTCCAGCGGCGGAATCCAATCAGGGATCTTCCCCCATTCGAATTTGGCCGCTCTAAACGCAGCTGAAACATGGTCCGGGAGCATGGAAAGGTAGTTTGGAGGGAGCTGCGAGTCGTATGGGGTGAAGCCAGGCTTGAATGTAACCTTGACTTTATCGAAGTCGGGAGGCGGTGGAGCACTAGAAGATGGCTGAACTGGCTGCCCAAACGGCGACTGAGTTGGAAACGCTGAGACAGGAAACGCTGAGACAGGCTGTGACGGAGCCGGGGCAGGGAACGCAGACTGCGTTGACGGTGGTGGGAAAGCTGATTGAGCCGGCTGTGGCGTGAACGCCGACTGAGTCGGTTGTGGTCCAAATGCAGAGACCGGCTGTGGTTGAGCCGGAGCGAAAGCAGTGGGTGTTTGGCTTGGGAAGGCGGACGAGGGATTGGATTTTGGCGCGAATGCATTAGAGCTCGCACTGTTTGCGAACGCGTTATTCGCAGGCTGGCTAAACGCCGATCCGTTATTTGTGTTCAGCGCGGAGGCTCCAAACGCAGATGGCTGACCAAACACCGATGGGTTGGCTGGTGCCCCGAATGGTGACGGATTGGCGGGGGCAGGCGCGGTAGAAGCAAAAGAGGATACCGGCTGGGTCCCTGTAGTCCCGAATGCCGAGCTGGTGGGTGCTGGGAAAGCGGACGTTGACGCAGGTGCATTGGCTGTCCCACCAAAAGCGGATGGTGTCGAGGAGGGAGGAAAGGCGGACGTCGTCGCCCCAAACGCCGAACCAGAAATTGGTGCGCCAAACGCAGATGTGGAAGCAGGCGCGCCGAATGGGGACGCTGAGCCAGAACTGCCTCCAAAACCGGTCTGTCCAAAAACGCTAGGTTTTCCAGCGAAGGCAGAAAAGCCGCCTGCGGTGTTGGTCGACGCAGTGGCACCGGCGCCGAAAGCAGAGGGGCCAGCATTCCCCGCAAACGCTGAGAAGCCAACAGCAGGTTTCACGACCGAGGAGCTTTGGCCGAAATTTGACGTTTGTCCGAAAGCAGAGGTGGTACCCAACGACGCCTGGCCAAATGCAGGGGTCGCGCTCGACCCCATGCTCGTTTGCCCAAACGCAGGTTGTCCGAAAGTCGATTGCCCGAACGTCGATGTCGTGTTCGACGTGGTCGGGGGAAAGGCCGACACTGGGGCGCTCGAGGACCCAAATGCAGACGACGCAGGCGTTCCCGTGTTGAATGCGGAGGTGGTGTTGGTGGTAGAAGTCGCGCCTCGGCTGTTATTCGTCGCCTGTTGGAAGGCCTGGCTGATATTGTTGACGGCATTCTGCGGAGCACGACATAAGAAAGGAGGAAGATGAATCACAGCGAAAGAGGATGGTACCGAGAATACTTGTTCTGCCGCCGCAAACTTTGATGACTCGTAAGAAATCTGTATGTGGGCTCGGATTTCGTCCTCCAGCAGCGGCAGGGCCTATCGCAACGCACATATTCGTTCACATTTCCCGCCTTCATGGCTGTCGCTGCCTTCGCTCTCAACTCCTCCTGCGATTCGTCTAATCCGGCCAACAACACCGGCTCAAACTTGGCTGGGCCATAGGACGACAACGGCCACAGCGGTCGGTCATTGCCCGATGTCAGATCAGCTGCTATGCTCTCCGAACTGCGGGTGTTCAGCCTCACGACACGATGCACGCGTCAGGACGCACGTAAACAGCGCGGTTTTCGGTGCTGGCCCGTCACGCGTGAAATTGTCTGGAGGACATGAAGCTCAATGCGACACGTTTGGGAAGCGCGTGCTCACTTGATTGCGGATGCTCGTTTTTACACGCAGCGCCGAATCTACACGTGCCGCGAAGAAAGAATTGGCAGACGGCCTGTACAGCGACGAAATGAAGTAGACCTCGATGGACTTGAAGGATATAGTGCACACCATGAGTCACGTCGAGTATGATCTTGCCGTTGATTTGAAGAACACAAGGGAAACCTTGTGCGTGCTGAACGAGTACAGTACGGAGGAAGTGAGAGGAGTCACTGTCAAGTCCAAATGAGGTCCTGTCAAGAACGCCATCACATGCCATCAAGGAGGCAATCATGTCCAGGTTGAGAGTGGACTCCACCCGCTTTGCGGCGAACTTTGCGCGACCTCTGAGTGCCCGGTTCCAGGCCCCGAGCACTGCATCCTTTGCAACCTTTCAATCACTCCAAACCTCCGAGACAACTGAAAAACTCCGATCTTTCCTCGTTTTACTACAGCAACCTGCTCCCGAACCGTCCACCGTTGACGCCGCGCTCGCCTATCTTGCTGAAACAGACAATGCCGTATCTCTGCTCTCCCAGGAATCCTCTGAACTCAGATCCGCTGTACTCAATCAGGCGACTGTGTGCGTCTACAGTCGCGCGCTGGAGACATACTTGAATGAGGCAGTCGCGTTCGAGGCCGAGGCCGAGTGGTGGGCTAACGTCGAACGCTCCAACGTCAACGTCGCCTGGTTTCTCCTTCAGAGTGCGTGTCTGTGTATCCATTCTCACTGCCGCTGACGGCAAATGATCAGCTTTTCCCTCGCGATTTACTCGGGCGCTGAACACCATCCTTGCTGCCCTCCGAGAACACCATCTCCCTCTCAACCTCGCGTCTTTCTCGCCCTCGTCACTGATCCGCCTGTTTCCATCGACTGCACTCAGGCCTTCGGCATTGACGCGGGCTCTTTTTCCTCACCTCGAGGACGGAACAGCAATGACATCATCGATGTTACCACCTCGATCGCATATCCCGTCGCTCATCTGGTCCAGCATATGCCAGCCACTCAGTCTTGCCCGCGACGAGTGCCGCTACAAACGGCAGCGGCTCGAACAGCTGAGAGACAATAGGGCAGACAAACTGGGTGACTTGGCGGCCCTGCGTAGTTCAGCGTCCTCGCAGAACTCCTTCCTGCAGCACGGATTGGCTAGAATCGTGACCGATAGCGATTTTCGAGCAGAGAACGAGCAAAACGTTGTCCAAAAGTTGTCGAGCTCACTGCTCCCTGCCCATATCGCTGCGCATGCAGCTGAGCTCCTCCAGTTGAGCAGACCGTCGCGTTTCACGCTCATCTGGCCGAAGCTGCTTTTATTGCCGCCTCTGAGCCTCTATGCCATCCGCTCGCTGTGGGTGTCTCGAGCATCTATGTGGGAAATGGCACTAGACGCGAAGGAAACCGCGCAAGGGTTCATCAAGAACTCGCTGGTCGAGCCGATCAAGGACATATTGACCACGGTCAGAACTGGAGGAGGTGATGGTGTGATTGTTAGGAAAGAAGGAGTCGTTGCAGACTTGGATGTAGGCTCACACTCGAACCTGGATGATGCAGCTTCTGACGGCAATCCCAGTCGCTGGAGCGCATGACCTTGTCGCTCGCCCAAGATCAGCTGCGCTACAATTCCACGCAGCTCGCTGAACTTTCCGCCAAGATCCGTGTCGGGGACCTCACCCCCGTCCTCCGATTGTACGAGGAAGACATCAAATCCCCGGTCAAGTCAGCTCTGACTGGGACACTCCTGCGCTCGATGTTCATCCAAGTGCAAAAAGCCAAGGTCGACATCGACCAGGCCCTCGCTGGTATCGACAAACTGCTCAAGTCGCAAGAACTGACGTTTGCGTTCGTCGGCCTGGCGCCCGCCATGGTCATTACGATCGTCCTCGGACGGTCTCTTTCGTCGTTGCTCGGAAGCGGCCCCAGCGACGGCCGTTACGGAGGCAAGCTCCAGCGAGCAGCGGCCTGGGCGGCGTTGCGGTGAGTCCTTCGTTCTCCGTTCGTGTCTGTCGCTGAAGGAGGAAACAGACGGATTGAATGCCTGCTCACGGCGAAGCATCGTGCGCGGCCCAACACGAGCAGCGGGATGATTCTCATCTCTGTGGCTCGCCTGCGAACTTTTGCCGAGTCGAGGCTGCCGAAGAGGTCCAGGCTACGAGAGGGCTTTTTGGAGGATGTGACCGATCTCGAGAGCACGACGATGGAGCGGGAGGATAAGCTGCGGGTGGTCGGCAGGATGTGGAGAACCTGGGGGCCTGCTTTGGGATGGGACAAGGTTCCGAGCGAGGGTTCGTTTACGCTTTGAGAATTTTCGTGAGGTTCTCATACTCGTCGAACATTTCTGTGCGGTGCATTCAAGGAGCAGTCGATCACCAGGGGCACTGAATATTAGAAACATCCTGGTTGTGCCTTGCCCACAAGCTCAAGATAATCGTTGAACAGGATCGGCTCCATATTGCCTCATGTATATAAAAACAGGTGCTCTAGTTGTACAATGGTACATGCGCCAATGCTCAGATGGAGTCGAACGCGGACCCGCCAGCCTTGGAATCTATGGTCATCACCTCCTCGAGGCCCATCACCTCGAAGAACTCGCGCGGGCCCATGCCCTGTGCGCAGGCAAAGTCGGTGCCGGTCTCCTTCAGCGACTTCATGGCAGCGCGAACGGCGTGCATCATCGGCACACATGAAGCCAGCGAGAAGACTAAGTGCGGGTCAGCGCGGATCCTTAACCCGGAGAGTTTCAACTGCTACGCACTGATGATCTTGGCACCGGTGGCCTCGGCTTCTTTGGATGTGAAGGAGGGGGTGAGGCCGCCAGAGATGACGTTGACCAGGACGGGTTTGGGTGCGAGCAGTCGGACGGTGCGTTCCAAGAGCTGCTTCGTCTTGACACCCTCGATGAAGCACACATCGGCACCGGCGTCGGCAGCGAGCTTGAGCCGCTCGATCGCCTCGTCCATGCCCAAGACCTGCGCAGAATCTGTGCGGCCGATGATCACCTACGAGAGAGACAGAGAGGTCAGCCACATAGGCAGATAAATCACAAGCGCCCACGCACAAAGTCGGATCCGCCGGGGATCATGTCACGAGCGATCACAGCAGCGCGGATTCGGGTGACGAATTCCTCGCGCGAGACGACCTGCTTGCCGAGGAGGTGACCGCAGCGCTTTGTCTGGACCTGGTCCTCGATGTGCAGGCCGGCAACGCCCGCCCGGGCGTATTTTGTGACCGTCCGCGCCACGTTCGCGGGTCCACCGAAGCTGCGAGGAGTCATATCAGTAAGCGAGATCGGGTGCTGGATTTGGGTGGGACGAACCCAGTGTCGGCATCAGCGATGACTGGCGTTGTCGGCGACAGACTGCAGACCATCTCCGCGGCCTGGGAGATCGGATTAGCTTTGGGAAGAGAGCTGGTATCGATTTATCCGTACCCCAACAAAGTCGTTCAAGGTGGCAATAGCCAGATCCGGCTGGCCGAGTCTCTGGAGCCGTGTGAGAAGGCTGCAAATTGGCACACTCCGGGGAACTCACAGAAGCTGTCGTGGCTGCCCCACTGTGCATCGAAATTTAACATTGCGTTCCTCACGGTGCAGATCAGGACGAACCTCTGGTACAGGCACTCGAAACCGGCCTCAACAGCAGCACGGGCACTGATTCCATCACAGATTCCCGGGGCAGTCTGTAAAACACAGGGCCTCAGATTCCGACGGGTCCTAGATCGAATAAGGCACGTACGACGATCCCGGGGCGGGCGAGCAGCTGCCTCAGCCGCGTCGCGGGGTTCTCCGAGAGCGGGCCCTCGAGGTAGTTGGCCGGGTCGAGCCGCGCGTTGTAGTACGGTGCGGCGCGGGCGGCAGCCTCGACCTTGGGGTCGCTCGGTGCCTCGACGACAGCAGGAACTTCAGAGAGCAAAGCGGGAGACATTGTGGCAGAAGAGGGTGGCTGGGTGGCTAGCTGGATGAGAGCGAGAGCGGGAGTGGGACTGCGAGGACGCGGGGAGCTCGGGTTGGGAAAACCTCAGGACTAGACACGGCTTTTAAACTCTCGAGGACTGGAAGAAGCCCGGGAACCCTCCGAGAGGCTATATTTGCGTCGGCGTTTGACGAGGCACCCAAGGACACCCTCCTGCCCTGTGCTGCTCTTGGCATTAAAATCAAGTGCCTCGATCAGTTCACATGCCAGGCAGTCGAAGGCTTGCCGTATTTCTTGAGACCGTCGGGCGCGCAAACGCGCGTCTAGAAATTACACATGGACCATACCACCGTTCAGTATCGCTCACGAGATGCGGTGATAGCCAAGTCGGTGCGGATGATGCCGACACCGGGATCCCTTCTCCAGGTGGAGTTAACACACGGTGAGCCAACAAAGCCGGGGCTTCATGGACCGCCTCAAGCTTGTGATCGGTGATTGGTGCCGGAACAGCGCAAGCTGCCCCACACTCGGAAGGACACAATGACTTGGCGCAGGATGCATACTCTGATCGCTCCAGGCTATCAACGAGAGAAGCTCGGAGAAATCACATTAAGAGATAGATAGAGTACACACTACTAAGCAGAAAGCACAGCAGCACTCCCGGCAGCCACCGCCGCTTCCCGACGCTTGATCCCCGCCCGCAAGCCTCGTTCGCTGGGCGTGCGACCCATGATCGATCCCGAGAGCACTTTCAGGTGCGACCTGCGCGCATTCACCCCGTGGCGTCTGCCCCCAGCCTTAATCCGGCGTTCCCGCTCCTTGATGTCAATAAACTTGCCCCCAATGTCGACAAAGTGTATCGGCATCCGACCAGGTCGTGTGACCTTCTGAACCGGCTCTCGAGGCGACTTGATCGTAGCTGTGTCGGGGAACCGCGGCATCAAACGGGGATTAGACTTGTTGGCCAGTGACTCTGCAGCCGAGCGCTCGGCGAGAAGCTTGGCGTGCTGCAGAGCAGCTGGTAGGATGGGTTCCTGGAGCATACCCGTTACCGCAGACGTATATCCAACGTGTACGAATACGCACCTTGCCATCATCGTACGCAGACTCCCAGTACTGTCTCTGGAAACGCTGCCGTTCTGCGTCACGATTCTCCTTCTCCTCGAGGAGATCGGCAGCGTGAACGTTGCTGAATTGAACACCCGGACCATCGCGGACCCCGAGCAGCATTTCCATGCCCCATTGGAAGCCGGTTTGGAGAGGTTTTTCCTGTGAGAAAGCATGAGCTTAGGAATGGACAAGAAAGAGCGCAAGGAGGTTCAGATGGGGTTGAAAACGGTATAACCATGATCCAGTGATGTAAGGGCACTGGGGTGTCTTACAATATCGCGAATGAAGGTTTGGTATCATCACATCAGGAAGAAAAAAGAAAGATACTGACATCCTGAGAAGCAAAGATCCATAGTGTTCAGTACCGATCAGCATAGAATGTCACGAGACAAGACAGTACCTGCGAGAAACACATTAGCCACAGCACTCATCAGTAGCACAGGGAGCAGGTTCAGAACGTAAGAAGATTTTAACCACGTAGGTGTCTTAAAGACTAATCGATTTATTTGACTCATCTCGAGAAACGGAAAGGGACGCGAAGGGACGTAGAGAACGACGACACACCTTGACGAAAGCAGCCTCCAATCCTTTGAGCCTCAGGATAGCGTCGACACGTTTCAGGCTGACGTGGAACCGTTGAGACAGGACACGGATGTTATTCCTCCTCGGGTCCAACATGTACTGCTCGTACATTTGCGTCTTCACGGCATCGGATATGGGGTTCGGGGGCTTGAAGGAGTAGTTCATGGGGAACGGCTGGACGCGTGATGAGGTTCGGAAAAGTTGTGGGCTGTGAGGGACAGACGGACGGCTCTCGTTTCCCCTGAGATGTAGTTATTCGGCTGTGCGACTCTGTACTTGTCCATGGCCTTCAGAAACCCGCGGTATGTGCTAAGCTGTGTGGAGATGTCTTCCAGCTTGGAGTCGGAGTCCTGGGTGGGCCGGGCGGCTTGTGCCTCTACGCGCTCAGCTTGCTCCAAGGCGTCTTCCGACGCAGCATCCTGCGGAGAGGCGAATCTCGGAGACGAGAAAGCGATGTTACGTCGCAAACAGAGCTGTTGCAGTGGACGAGCACATTGTGGACGGAATGAAAACATTGGAAAAAGTTTTTGCTGGCCTTAGGGCATAAGAGGAACAAACAAGGCACATCGTGATCAAAAATCATCATCAGATGACAACGACGCGCTAGCCACCGGGGGCGTGTGAAGTTGCTGCATCAAGCGGCTAGGCTCATTTCTCTCCCATATGATTTCGTAGGCTCATACTCTAAGGCCTGTAACGGATGAAATTTGCGCCCGTACTTACGCTATCGTGCTGCCGCCTGCCGGTCAACTCGTTATGATCTCGAGAAGACAGTCGACCATAACCCATCACTGGCAGCTGGGTAGATTGTAAATTGAAATATATGTCTATAACAACGAGTGTGATACATGCTACGAAAACGAGCTCTAGATCTCGCTGGATTTTCCATTTGATTCCATTCGATTGAACGCACGCTTGGAGCGAATTCGGAGGTCTCGGACAGCCTTGCACAAGATGATAATGGGGACAACGCATACATGTACATTCGAATCCTGCCTTCTAACGGCAAGACCCAGAAGTGCCCGATCTCCGATCTGCTAGAAATACAAAGACTATGTGCGTAAACGGCGCAGTACTAAATGATGGTGGGGAATGTCTCTATGATTGTCTCTATGCAAAACTCCAGGTTGTGCTACATGTAAATCCACCGGGTCACAATAAAAAGAGGGAGGTAAGAAAAGGGGGAGTGTGTGTGAAAGGTCCGTCACGGGTATGTCCCGTCGTTCAGACGTGGTTGTATGCGCCGCTCTGGTGAGAATGCCGCTCTTGGTCAATCGCGAGCGGCGACGCCGGCTCGTGCTTCTCGATCTCCGTGGAGGCTGTGGAGGCCGAGTCCTTGAGCACGTCATCTGGCTTGGAGTAGAAAATGAGCCCCTTCCAGAATGCGATCGCGGTCAGGACGATGAGCACGGCCCAAGTGATCACGATCACGACCGTCAAACACGCATGCAGTGTCAGCAGCCCCGGGACGTTCAACAGTTTGCCGAGCGATTTCGTGGTGTTGATCCAGCCGACTGGGGGATGATCAATTCAGCTATCGATGGAAAGCGGAAGGAAAGGGAGAACAAACCATTAGGGAAGGTCAGCGCCCAGCCTAGCAAAAAGACGAGTCAGCTCAGTTGGGGAGACTCACACAATCGGAGACTCACATCCAAGGATCTCGTTCAAGTGTTTATGCACTTTGAACCAATACGGCAGAACACCAAACACGAAGAGGAACACCGCGAGCCCGTACAGCATCAGCGCCGACATGATGCTGACGGCGTACCAGATCTCGCCCGCTTGCGGCGAAACGAGATTGAACTGGGGCAGACTGTGCAGAGATCTGTGAGAAACGAACGAAGATAGATAGATAGATAGATGGCGCACAGGTCCTTGGCGTGGCGTCCGAGGTTGAGCAGAGCAAGGGCAGTAAAGCCAGGGGGGCCGCAGGCAACAAATGCACCGTTTGCCTGATGTCCGTCCAAGAACCCAGTCTACACATGCGCGTCAGTTCCACTCCACTGGGTTGGGTTCGGAATGTCTTACGGTCATAACCCGGATCACATAGATGCAGATGTAGATGAAGGTCATGAAGAACCCGAGACCTGTGATATAATATTCAGGAAATAGCTTCGGCGTTATCCGGTGCCCACATACCCTGGAAGAAATAGCCGACAAAGAGGACGCCCAGAGCTCGGGGATCGTCGTTCGCCATCACGTTCAGAACGTTGAAAGAAACCACGCCGACCAGCATCTATCGGGACGTCAGCCGGTCTACTGCAGCGTAGGATGCCCATGGCACATACCAGAGGGAAGACCTGCGACAAACAGTCAGTCAATCGCACGACGTCATGGCAGGATCGGGGCGCACCAAGAACGCATAGGCAGGTGTGAAGTGGTTCAAATCGTGTGGCTTATTGAACCAGATCATCATCATCGGGAAGCAGGTCAGCAGCGCGAACACCGTGTACACCCTACATGCCCGGGGTTCAGCGGGGTTCAGGGACAACGGAGAAATGCTCCCACCAAAACAGCACATAGATCAGCTCCGGTCCGATGTGTTTGGGCGGCACCGCGTAGTTGATCGTCCCGATAATGATAGTGGCGAACGAGAGGACGACGAGGGGGACGAAGATGCCTTTGACTGGGTCCTGCACCAGCCTCCATGCTTGCCTCGGAAAGACTGCCAAGACATGCCGTCAGCCGGGAGAGCCACGTGCGTGCGCGAGACGCACCGATGGCTTGCGCGAGGAGGGTGCTCGTGTTGAGCAGGAAGAGGGCCATGTTGATGAAGTAGAAGACCACTTGGAGAGTCACCAGCGCGGGCGTCTGTGCCTCGAGGCCAGAGAGCGAGACGTAGACGGCACCGGTGCCCATACCGATCGGGAACTGTTAATTAGCCACTCAGCCACTTCGATACAAGGGGCGCATTCGGAATATATGCTCACCGCTTGCCACGACCATCCGTGGATCCGGCGGAACAGGGAACTGACTTTGGATTGGTTCTCCATTTTGAGGGGGTGAAGGAGGGAAAGACGGGAAAAGGGAAGAAAGAAAGAAAGGAAACCGAGGAAAGGGATTGTCGATGAGGAGACAGAAACAACTGGCGCCTCCTTAATGTATGCACGCCCTGCGCGAAAAAGAAGAAGAAGCAGCGGCCGAAATCGACGAGCTCCACACGACGAAGCAACCGAAACCAGGGTGAGCGGCTCATGGCTCTTAGGATCACATAAGTATTTGAAGCCCAGTGCCAAGTATTCATGGACGAGAAGCAGAACAATGACCGAATCGCGGAGCCAATCATATTTCGTCGACTAAGATTGGGGGTAGCTGCTGGGCGGCTGTGCGAACCGTTTCGGCTGTGAGAAGACAAACAACCTTCTTGGTATCACAACCAAATCACGATTTCCGATAGGAAAGCTTGGTCTCTGTTCAGCAGCGCCCGCTAGGTAGCTGGACTCGAGCAACGGCCGAGCAATAGACGCCTGAGCGGTGTTCTCTCCGAGGCCAAGGCCCAAGGCCCGTCGCGGCCTCGGTGGGTGTGCGTAGACGCTGGATGTGCCAGGTTGTCGGGTGGACTTGGCAGAGACTGCACATTCGTGAGATCTTCGATCAGTTGTCAATCCACGGATGCAAGTGTCAAAAAGTAGGTGTCAAAGGAGTTACGATTTTCTTGTGTTTGGCTACCGGGATCGTCCGCGTCTCCTGTCAGCGGCGTCCTCCGGGTTATCTGAACTGGGTGCTGTGTAGCAAGCAGTCTGAATTGTACATGGACGACGACGATGGTGCGCCTCCGTGAGCCATCTCAGCATATCCTAGAGAAAGAAGCAGATCATCTTGAAAGTTCGGAATGAATGCTTCGAGAACGCGTTCAGTATCCTGTGTTGCATATCTGCCGCTTGTGTCTATCATCAACCAAGCCAAGCGCTTGAGGTGGCTCGGATCGGATCTTTCTCGCTCAGGCGGTAATAATCTGCTGGCCGCTCCCTGCTGCTCCACGTTGTTTAGCGGCACCTCTAAGTGACTAAACTTGCAGCCGCAAGAATCCATCTAAATACAAGACATCATTACTTATCCATCTACCTGCAAGACATCATAGCACAGGACTCGGACAAGTTCGGAGACCCAAGACAAAAAGATGCCCGGAACCGATGGTAGCCGCGCGGACTGCTCAGGGTAGGGCACCGACTCCACACGTGATCGCGATCATTTCGCCCGACCTCCGCCCCACTTTGCTTCATCTTTCTAGCCGCGTCGCCGTGGCTTCTAAATCCACCTTATCTGGGCATCCCGATGCCCGAGTCAATACCGAGGCCTCACCGAGTGGCCCGGATGTGCCAGAAGTATTCTTTGTATCATGTCAGAAACCGTGTAAGTTTCCGATACCTACACTGCGAGCGGTGCGTCATGAACAAACGCGTCGCCTGAGTCCTCGCAACGCCGCCTTCCACCATTGAATACGAATCTTTCTCTCAGCTTCGCACGCATGCTGAGGGACTCGCGGCTGACGTCAACGCGTCGTAAATCCTGGATGAAAAAATGGAAGGCAGAGCAGAGGGGAACAAGGGCCTGCATACCAGTACGTGTGTCGCGTCCGATCAGCACCCCCGTCACCGTGCGTTGTCGCATCGGCTCGGCCCCCGTCTCTTCGCCCACCGATGACAAGGCGTGGCTATCTTCATCGACTGGCAACTACTACACCCCTAGGCTTGGACTTGACGACAACGCGCAACTGGCCTCCCATGTCGATGCCACTGCTGCTACCAACGACCAGCGACCGCGACTAGAATTCTATCGTCGTACTCAACGCGCGAACATGTTCGATGTACTTTCCGTGCTTCCTGGATACGCCAAACACTGGCTGGCGTGTATTCTTCTCTGCACGACGGCCGCCGTGAAGTCATGCCGCGGAATCGGAGCTCTGGCTCGCTTCAAGCAGGGAATGGTATCAAGCCGACACCCATCCAAGCGTCGACTCCAACGAATTAACCTTCTCATTTCCAGCAGATCAAGGTTACATCCAGCCAAAAGATACACGACCACGACCCCTAGTTTGCACTGAATCGTCGTCAAAGTGGCTCAGCTCGACGTCGCCCGGGATGCCCTTCGCGATCTTCGCGCACGCCGTGCACACCTTCGCGCTGGCGGAGCAGGCGTCCGCTTTGGACGCGGAGGCCCTCGGAGGCGCAGGCTGGGTTGCGACCGGTGCAGTGGGCGGCTTGGTCACCGGCTTCGTGGGCGGATTCGTGACGGGTTTGGTGGGCGGCTTGGTGACTGGCTTGGTGACTGGCTTGGTGACTGGCTTGGTGGACGTTTTCGTGACGGGTTTCACGACAGGCTTGCCCACAGGCCTGACGATGGGCTTCTTCGTGACGGGTCTGGCGATAGGCTTCTTCCCGATAGGTTTCCTGATTGCTCTCGCGGAGAGATCTTCGGAACCATCGAGAACGTCTTCGCCATCCGTGACTTCATCAACCAGCGCGCGAGCACCGAGTTCGTCCGACTCCTCAGACCCCTCTTCGAGCAGCTCACGAGTGCCGAGTTGGTTTCCGATGAAGCATTTGGAGTCGAAGAACTCGGGGTTCGACTGGGCCTGTTGTCGTCGATACACAGTCAGACCGATGATGGGACGAAGGACGACGACAACCCACGCACCAACAGCGCGAAGAACGCGTAGTTCTGCGGGTTCTGCGGCTTCAACGGGGCAGCGAGGTTCTGGATTTGGTTGAACCCATAGGCGCGCACCCCAGCGACCTTCTGGTCGATGAAGCGCTCGATCTGGGGGTTGTTCATGAGCGGGTCCGAGTGCTGGACCTCGTGGATCAGCGTGAACGCGAGAGGGGGGACTGGGAGCTGGCCGCTGAAGACGAAGCCGCGCGTGATGTCGAAGTTGCCGCTGGGGTTCATCCCCGCGGCGGCTTGCGCGATGGTGCGCGTGTTCTGGAGGCGGCCTTCAGTCTACTGATCGTTTTACTCACAATTCTACAAGACGAGAACGCACGACGAAGGACAGCGGGGAGAAACGAATCAGGTTGAGCGTCGGGACCGCACTCGAGCTCTTCGTCCGCCGGCCGACGTTGACGGTGTTGGCGTAGACGTCGCAGGCCCTGGCGGCTGCCGCGGGCACACACGTGATGATCATATCCGTCGCGCTGTTCTCGAACGGCACAGTCGAGGCGATGAGGTCCGGCGTCGTCAGCTTCTGGACGAACCCAAACCGGCCCGTCACGCTCGTCGTCGAAACGGTAGAGCCACCTGGCCAAAGCACGAGTCAGACACCGCTCGTCGAAGCGGGTAGAATGCGCACGCACCGAAGATCCAGAAGTACCCGTTGCTCTTGCTCATCCCGGAGACGCTCAGCGTCCGGGTCGCCTTCGCAGCGGCCGCCTTGGCGTCGGAGATGGCGTTCTTGATCATCGCCACCTCGTTCGGCCCGCACTTCTCGTCGTCCGGCGAGCCCGTGAGCGTGGCCGGCGGCGTACCAGCGAGGATGTGGAAGTTGACGCCGGCGCGGGCTGCGAGCTCGACCTCCTCGAGGAACTCGACCGAGTGCGCGGTCACGGGCACGGGCGAGGCGCGCGCGGTCACGAGGAGCGAGAGCAGGACCGCAGATGTCGGTGCGATGAGGTGCATCGTCGTGGTCGGGAAATGGGGAAAAAAGAACAAGAAAAGGGGCGAGAGGGAGAGAAGAAGGGAAGAAAGGCTCTGTGCGGTCTACGCACGAGAGGGACGAAGGAGAATGGCGATTTCTCGACCACAGAGCTGTGGTACTTGTACCCTGTACGCCGAGATACCGCCCACGATCAGACGCCCGATCGTGCTTTTTTCGGGTTTCACTTGCTGCAGCGCCTTCAGATGTAATCCATCCCATGAAATACACGTCTCCTGTGAGAAGGCCATGGCGATCAGCACACCGAGGAGCCCGCACCGAGTCGAGCGGGATACTCGAGTGCTTGTCCACTTACTCGATCGGAACATCAGAAGCTTGTAGTACCCACACTCCAAGTCATTTCGAACCCATCGCCAGAAAATGCTCCTAATTAATTCAACTAGGTCATAGCCTGAGAATCGATAGCCTCGACAGCCTATATACCCGTGGACATGCCTCATCAGAACCGCTAGCAGTGCCTCAACTTTGTCAAGATCTCGAGGGTTCCAACCGCGACACCACTGCTACAGACCAAGAAGCTTTGAGACACCAACCTCCTTTTCTATTCCGCATGGCGGGGGCGCGCTCGAGCGGCTTTGGGCGCTTTCATTTCATATCGAGCCACACGTGTCCAACGTCCAACGTTCAACATCGCGGTAAATAACGAGGCTCCGACGTCGAGTTCCCAGGCCAGCACGTGTTATGCCCGCACTCTGCTTCTGGAAGTACAGGTGTAGAGTGAATTTACCCATCCCCCGCATCTGATGGGACCCACTCTGATTCCAATCATGTGTCCTCCTCATTTGGTTGCAAATCAGCGCTTTGACCCCCCTGTTTTCGCGTCACTAAGGGCGTTGTCGGGTGGGTCCTACTAGTAGCAAGCCGTGACATCCATTCTCGTGAGCCGCATCGCCCAACCGACCGATGACTCTGAGCGACTTTCATCGGTCCAAGTGAACTGGCTCCCAGCGACTTTCATCGGTTTCGTGTGCGGTTTTGCTCAGATCGAACTTTTAGCTCTCGTACGGGAAGGACCGCATTACATATTCACGCTCCTCATCAGGATAGGTGGGTCAACAGAGCACCGAGTCGTTGGCGTGTCCCTTGATGTGGACACGCGCGTCATGGTACACTTGATCCACAGACACCCATCCCCATTCGTGTCCTTAGATAAAAGCCGCTCCGTGACCACACGCTTGGTCTAGGAGATCGCCGGCGCCAAATGTGGTGTTAGCATGGGTTTCGGAGATAGTGGCGGAGAATTTAGTTGGAGGTTGGTCCAAAGAGAAGTCCACAGATCCAAGATCCACGATAAAGAAGATGCGCCCGGCACCGCGCGGCGAGTGGGTCTAATTAGAAGACCCTCGGCACACGTGCTCGACACACGTGATCGTGATGACTTGACGCTGCCAAATCTAGCCGACACGTGATAAAGTTGCAGGCTGAAGGCCTTTGGCAGCACATCATGATCAGTCTGCTGAAGAGTCTCAGAGTCATGCCAAGTCCAGCTCAAAGATTCATTTCGATGACCACCTCACTTCGGGATACTGCGCTAGCAACGAAGGATATACGCGCGGCCTGACTTGGTGACTAGGATAATCCAGGACCAGTGAGTGTGACGCGTCACGCCTGTGTTCGCACCTCCGACGCCTGTTCCGTGCAGCGTACAGCGTGCCGCATGCCATAAATAGACCCGCCGCTCGTGCTCGAGATCTGGCAACGCTATCTCACCTCTGGCATGTCAAACGCGAAGGAACCGACGACTGGCGTCGTCATACTGGGTGTCGCTCCACGGCGGTTGGAACCCAAGCAGGGCAGCGACTTCCGAATCTCGCTCCAGTGTTCCATCCGCGATGCCATCGAACTCACGTCGAGGGACAGAGCGCAAAGGGACCAATGGCACGCGTCCGATCCCAATCCTCGTTGCCGTACGCCCTCCCTTCGACCTCCAGGATATGCGGCTGGCAGATGCAGATATGCAACCGAGTTTCTTCGTCGAACAGTGCGCTGACAGCCCTCTGGGCGGTAGAGAACATCCCTGGACTAGGGCTACAAGGGCTGCGCTGCTATGTATCCGTGGTCCGACAGCGAATCATGCGCGCCAACGGCCGTGCTTGGGTGGATCTTTCCAATCAACCTTTAGCTATCATACGCCATGCAGATATCCACTGGACGACACCCGCAGTGAGGTGATCCATCACCGCTGGATGATCTCAGCGCCCGTTCCATCGTCTAGTCAAACGACCCACTCAGGACTCAAATGTCGAAACATCACCACCGACCAGAACACGGCGACAGCCCCCGTCCAAATAAAAAAAACTCCTTTCTCAATTAATTCCTTCATATTAAGTACATGTACACATCACTATCCAATCCGCAAGACAAGCCAAGATTACACCGAGTCGTCATCAAAGTGGTTCAGCTTGACGTCGCCGGGGATGCCCTTCTCGATCTTCGCGCACGCCGTGCACACCTTCGCGCTGGCGGAGCACGAGGCCGCTTTGGACGCGGAGGGCTTGGGGGCTGCGGCGGACTTGGAGGCGACGGGCTTCGTGGGCGGCTTTGCAACCGGTTTGGCGACCGGTTTGGCTACGGGTTTCGCAACTGGTTTGGCCACGGGCTTTGCGACTGGTTTGGCCACGGGCTTTGCGACTGGTTTAGCAACTGGCTTCGCGACAGGCTTTGCCACGGGTTTAGCGACAGGCTTTGCCACGGGTTTAGCGGCAGGCTTTGCCACTGGTTTCGCCACAGGTTTCGCGACCGGCTTAGCTGCTGGTTTTGCCACTGGTTTCGCAACAGGTTTGGCGACAGGCTTCGCGACAGGCTTCGCGACGGGTTTTGCGACCGGTTTAGCCACAGGCTTCACGACAGGCTTGGCCACGGGCTTCACGACGGGTTTCTTGACCGCTCGGGCGGAGAGGTCGTCGGACTCGTCTTCAAGAACGTCCTCGTCATCCTCCACCAGCTCACGAGCGTCAACCTCGTTCGATTCTTCAGGAACCTCCTCGACGTCCTCGACCAAGTGGCGGGCACCAAGTTGGTTTCCAATGAAGCACTTGGAGTCGAAGAACTCGGGGTTCGACTGGGCCTATCGTCGACGTCAGACCGATCAAACCGAAAGATAACAGCGTGCAAGCACGCACCAGCAGCGCGAAGAACGCGTAGTTCTGCGGGTTCTGCGGCTTCAACGCGGCGTCGAGGTTCTGGATCTGCTTGAACCCGTACGCGCGCGTGCCAGCGACCTTCTGGTCGATGAAGTGGTCGATCTGCGCGTTGTCCATGAGCGGGTCCGAGTGCTGGATCTCGTGGATCATGGTGAACGCGAGTGGCGGCACGGGGATCTGGCCGCTGACGACGAAGCCGCGCGTGATGTCGAAGTTGCCGCCCGGGTTCATGCTTGCCGCCGCTTGTGCAATGGTGTGCGTGTTCTGGAGAGACAGATCAGTCGCCTTTTCTCATCGTGCCAGAGAGCGAGACAAACGCACAGCGAACGAGACCGGGGAGAACCGAATCAAGTTCAGCGTCGGGACCGCAGTCAGACTCTTCGTCTTGCGCCCGATGTTAACGGTGTTGGCGTAGACGTCGCCGGCCCTGGCAGCTGCCGCGGGCACACACGTGAAGATCACGTCCGTCGCACTGTTCTCGAACGGCACGGTCGACGTGATCTCGTCGGGCGTCGCGAGCTTCTCGACGAACTTGAACCGGTCCGCCACAGTCGTCGTCGAGGTCGACGAGCCGCCTGTCAGATTCGATTTCACTCAGCAATCACTCAATGCGAGCAGGATGGGCACGCACCGAAGATCCAGAAGAACCCGTTGCTCTTGCTCATGCCGGAGACACCGAGCGCCGAGATGGCTTTCGCAGACGCCGCCTTGGCGTCGGTTATCGCGGTCTTCAGCAGCGCGACCTCGTCTGGCCCGCACTTCTCGTCGTCCGGCGTCCCGGTGAGCGTGGCCGGCGGCGTGCCGGCGAGGATGTGGAACTTGAGGCCCGTGCGGGCCGCGAGCTCGACCTCCTCGAAGAACTCGACCGCGCGCCCGGTCACGGGTATCGGCGAGGCGCGCGCGGCGACGAGGAGCGAGAGCAGCACCGCGGATGTCGGTGAGATGAAGTACATGGCAGCAGAAAAACGGAGAGAGGAAGGAAGGAAGGGAAAGAAAAATAACGAGGGGCGGAGAAGAAGAAGAAGAAAAAAGAAAGGCTCTGTGTGGTCTACACACGAGAGGGACGAAGGAGAATGGAGATCCCTGACCCTGCAGCCGGGGTACTTATAGCACCCAGCGCGCCAGGGTGTCAAGATAACGCGCCATCACTGGATGGATGGTGATCATATTTTTCCCACGTTTCATCACTTTCATTTCTGCAGCGCCTTCGGGGTGCAGATCCAACGATGATGATGAATGACATCGCCCCCCGTTGTTAGGACGGCATGGCGACCAGCACCGAGCACACCCGGTTGAAATCCTTTGCAAACTCCAGAGGACTCCAGAGTCCATAGAGCTTCAGGAACGATTTCGTAGCCGTGACATCAATCTCGCTCTCACCACACCCGGTCGTCGATTTCATCGGTCCGTTATGCAAGGCCTTGCAAAACGGACGATTACATACATCGGCCATCGTCTCTCCGGCTCCCATCTCTCCTGCGCCTGGTACCCTGTCACATGGAAGCAGTCTAAACCAGGGCTGGGCCTGGAAACTGCCTCCCTCTGCAATTAGTGCGCATGGGTAACATTGGTCGGCAAGGGGCGTGTCGTTTCGTCACAGATCTACAGATGATGATACAGTAGGTACAGTACATAAAAACATAAGTCACAAGTACATACAGAGCAGAGTACAGATCTACCAATGTCTTACAAGTACATACATGGGCACAGTCTCCGTATATGGCGGGGGGTCCTTACAAATTACATCACCAAGCATCCATTATCCTGGACCGTATCGTCCGGCGTCTGCCGCCCGCTGGGGGACCACCAGCGCGAGCGGCCCTCCTCCGCCTCGTTCGCACTCCTCCTCATGCTCGCCTTCCGGCGCTTCTCCCGCGCAGAATGGACCGCGTCGACGGTCTGCCACCCGTGAAACGTCTGCACCACGACACGCGCCGGATCGCATTCGTCCTGGCCCACCTTGAGGAGGTACTCCTCCGCATCGCGCGCGTCGACGAACTCAAGCCCCCGCGCCCCAAAATCGCGCCAGCCGTGCCGCGGCCGCGTCTGCGGCGAGAGTTCTCTGATCAGGCTCTCGCCGAATCCGCGGCAGTCGACGCCCACGATCCGCGCGTCGTGCAGCGCGCGCTGGCGGCAGAGCCGGACGAACGTCTTGAGCACGCGGGCCCCGATGTGCGTGTTGTCGATCTCGAGTACGCGCAGGCGCGTGCAGCCCCGGACCAGAGCCAGCAGCGCGTCGTCCGTCACCTCCAGCGCGCCAGAAAGGATCAGCGTGTCGAGCGCAGATTGCGCCGGGGCTTCGTCGCCCTCCGGCAGTGGCGGCGTCAGCGTCGCGAGGACCGCGTCTGTGATGGACGATGCGTCCTCGAGATCGAGCCGTTTGAGTTTAGGGGTCGTATCGAGCAGCCGGATCAGACCCGCGTCCTCGAGGCTCGCGCCGATCCCCGCAAGCTCGAGGTACTCGAGGTTCGGCATGGTATGTGCCAGATGGGAGCAGGCGGCATCGGTCAGTAGGATGCACGACGAGAGAACGAGATGTCGCAGCCGCGTGATGCGCCGTCGGTAGTGTGTTCCGTCATTGAAGTCCCGGCCCGCCTCCCGGGCATTCAGCGTGATGCTGTTATCTTGCCCTTCCTCTGCAGCGACGAACGCCTCGATGGCAGTGTTGTGCAGATGCCGCATGTAGCTCAGATCCAGCACCTCCAGGAACGGAGCAGCCTTGCCCAGCGCCCGCATCACGTCATCGTCTATGTACTTGACTCCTGATATCCTCAGCTCGCGCAACGGGAGATCCACTTTGTGTCTGACGAGATGTTTGAGACCGTACGCGTCGAGGTGCTTGCAGCGACCCAGATCCAGGCTCTGCACGCCAGTGCAGTACGATCCGAGGATATCACATGTCATGTTGGTGACAGCACTAAGCCCGTGAAGACACACCCGCTCCAGCGCACGGGACTGAATAAGTAGGTGGTGCAGCGACTGCGTCGTAATCCCCGAGCAGCCTCTCAGATTCAGGCTCGTCAGATTATTAAGGGGGAGAAATCCGTAAGCCAGATGGTCGGCGATTTGCACAAGCGCACTCGAGCCGACACGCCCGTGCCCAGATATATCGAGTGATTGCGCAAACGCGCCGACGTGTGATGCGAGGCGAATGAGGAGAGCCTTGGGAAGCAGAGGAAACGCGCTGAGATCGATGTCGCTCCAGATTTGGCCGTCGAAAACCAGCGATTGCCAGGATTTCGAGACCTGCACTCATTAGGCTTCTATGGAGCAGGCAAAGACAGATAGTAGACGCACCCGACTGAACCGCACCAGATCCCTCATCCCGCGATTCCTCCCAACCCACTGGTTCTTGGCCGACGTCGCCTTGCCAATGGTCCACGATCCATCCTCAGCTAATTTGCGCTGGTCGAGATCATGCACATCAACGACGGCACGCATGACCAGCACCTGCAGCTCCCGCGGCAACATCTCGCCAAAGCAGTCCCTCCACACCGGCAACGGGATCGCCGAGAACACATCGGACGACGCGACTGCGGGGACCAGGTCCAGCGCGCACGTGGGGTACGTCCCCGGCAGCACCTTCACCACCGCGTAGTGCCCATAGTCGAGCGCGCCGGGCCCCGAGTCGCCCGTGCGCCACGGCGAGTACGCGCCCGTCCCCGGGTCGAGGTCGCCCGTCGTCGGCGACGACGGCGGCGTCGGGCACGCGCTGTCGTTCGTGTACTTGAACAGCAGCCGCTTCGCGATCCCGCTCCGAATCCGCGTGCGGGCCAGAGACGGGAGCGAGCGGCGGCGCCGGCGGGGTTCGGGATCTGTGGTCAGTACGCTTATCGGCGTCGGCGTTAGTGGCGGAGAAGCTGGCGGCTGGAGATGGGAGGGAGAGATCGACCCGGAGCCCGACGGCCCGGGGCTGGGCGTGGTCAGCCACCCCGCATAAGCGTGCTCGTCCCCCAGGACGGACGGCGAGAAGACCAGAGGCGGGAGAGTGGGCGGATGCTCTTCCGCCTCCCTGGCCCTCGCTTTGCCTTTGCCGCTGCCTGAGGCGTCGCCGGCAAGCGGGAAAACCTCGGACGGCGAGAGAAACGAGAACGACTCGGAAGCCGCGGTAACGCCTGGGAACGCGCGCGGGTCAGGCATCGATACCGCCATCGCTCCCACAGCCCACGGACTGCTGCTGCTGCTTGAGCTCGCACTGGGGCTGCCCGCGAGCCACGAGGGCGGCGAGGACGACAGCGGGGACGCGAACGCGTAGAACTTCTGATCCGCGCGCCGCGCGCCGTGCATGTCGAATATATCGTGCGGATCGTGCGCCGGGGAGGGGATGGGCACGGGCCGGGAGGCAACGCCCTTGCCCTTCGAGCGCGTGCCCGCAGCTGTGGCGGTCGCTGTCGACATCGTGTCCTGATCCGGCTGCTCCACACGCGGATCCTGCTGCAGAGACTGGAGCAGGGCCAGCGACGCCGCCGTGCCCTCTGCAATGAAGGGATCGAACGCGAGGTCAGGATCGAACATGGAATGGAAGAAGGAGGGAGAAGAAAGACAAGGGGGGAGGCGCAAGCTCTGTGTCTCGATAAGTACGGCAAGTCGTGCGGTAGTACTAGTATGCGGTCGGGTAACCGCCCTATTTGGTCCCTGCTATCGGACTCAGTGGCCCGAGCTTGGCAGCACGAATGTGGTCGGATGAGAAAGAGGAGCACCGGCCATCCAACTTGAGGGAGGCAGAAACAGATAGAAGCGATAACGCCAACCAAGAGCCCGAGGTCTGAGACGGAGATGACCGCATGGAGCAGCCAAGAAGTCTCACATCGATGCGATCACACGTCAACTAATTTAGTAGATGCAGACACACCAGCTGCAGTAGCATGACACAAGTCTACAAGTACTCTCTGCACTCCGGATTCTTACACTTCTTATCCTAAATGATATTCCTACGGAGCACTGTTGGCTAAATGGAATTCCTCCGGGCGCTCTTCCCTTTCCTCCGCCCTCTGTGGCCGGACAAATCATGCTTCCCTTCTATCAGTGCTGGCGGCAGCCTGCCCTCCTCGTCCATCTTGTCCAGGATCCCACATGCAGCCTCGTAGCCCTTCAGCTGGAGCTCCTCGAATTTGCCCCACTGAAGAGTCCCGTACTAAGCAAAGCAGTGAGACAGCGTGAGCAGTGAAAGTCCCGCGCAGCTCACATCTTGGACAGGCATCCCGATATATAAACAGCCCTTCGCGACTTTCGCCTCCTCTAATGTCTTGACACTCGAAACACTGCCCAGATTCAGCAGACGCCCCTACAAGGAAAAAGAAACGGAATGCGTACTAGGCGAGCCGACTCTGGATCTCGGTAATCGGCGGGACCAGCCGTGCGTCCGAGAACGGGTTCCACCGGTTGATCAGCAGCCACCAGCCGGAGACAGAGTCGCCGAAATTGCGCGGTGTGTTGTCATCAAGCGAGCCGACATCGCACGCGAAGACGGTGCTCGCTCCCATAGAGAACATGGTCGTCACCGGCAAGTTGTCCACTGCATTCGGGTCAGATATACGCTCACGAAGGGCGGTACAGAACGCACCATAACCGCCGTCGACGAGCATCTCCCCGTTATTACACAGCGGAGGCAGCAGTCCGATCAGAGTCATTGATGCCCGGATGAACCGCCACGCGTAACCGTTCTCGTGGATGTCCATCCGCGACGTCATGATATTCGTCGTGTTGCAGAAGAACGGCAGCCACATGTCCTCGATGTGGAGGTCGTAGAACGCCTTGTACACCGCGCGGTTGAACTCGTGCCCAGTCGTGTACGCCACAATCGGGTACGTCACATCAGACAGAATCCGCCAGATGTTGCCCATCCGCCCACTGAAATGCTTCGCACGGCCAGCAACCGAGATCACGTTCCCCTCCCTCGCGTATAAACCGCCGATAAACGCACCAATACTCGTGCCGCCAATATGGTCAATCGGAATCCCATACTCTTCAAGAGCCCGGATCAGACCAATGTGCGCAATCCCCCTCGCTCCGCCACCTCCAAGCACAAGCCCGATGCTCCGCCCGCACAATCTCCTCGCGAGACGCGCAAAGTCGTTGGCTTGCGGCATCCGTTGTGGTCGCGGATCACTCGCCGCCGTCTTGCGGAACTTTTGTATCTCATGCTGCACCTTGTCTTTCAGATTCTTGAAGGTCGTCACCGCATCTGGGTCTTTGGGGTTCGAAGGAGGTTGCTTGGGGATGGGGAGAACCAGACCCGGAAGCTCGACGTGGATATGCTGGTAGATCCATGGTCGGTTCTGCAAATTCTGAGCATCCAAGAGCGTTCTTAAATGCAATACGCACCTTGAGCCATTCACGTGTTGACCCCGGAACAACGGTCCGATCGGGATGCAGCAGCACCAGTTCCTTCCTCGCAGTGGTCTTCATCGACAGCAACAACCGCTCGTATTCGCCAATAGACGGATCATCGCCCATCCCCACAACCATCACGCAATCCGCCTGCTGATGTTGAGCATCTGTCTCTTCTGGGAGAGCACAACACTCACTTGTCGGATACACGTCTGTGTCCACGAGCTGTTGACAGGAGAGTCTGCAACATACAGCACCGTGCGATACTTCTGCTCCTGGTCCGCAAGCCCTGACAGACACATCAGACTCGCCGATGTACAACAAAAGAAAGAGCAACTCACACCCCGCAGCCTTCAGCTTTCCCATCCTCGTGAACGCATGTCGTCCCAGATGCTGCGAGACCGAGGCCTGGTTCAGATACGAGGTCGTCGCACCGATGCCCTCCAGTGCACTCTGGAGCTTGCGGGCAAATGCGTCGATAGGGATCGATCGCGAGACAGGCAACACAGCTACTGTCTTCAAGTTGTTGTTGTCCGACCGGGTCGCATTCTGGGTCGATGAAGAGTCCAATTCATCTCTCACTCTCGACGCAATCATCCGAAGCAGCCTGGAAAAGCTGAGCGAAAGAGCAACGTGAGATAGAACTGCTTACTGCGCCGTCGTCTTGGGATTCCTGGAGCTGATCGCGTTGAACAGCGTCTGCGGCATGCGAATCAGCTCCGTATCACGAATGGCATGCACGGTGCTGCGTCGGGGGGATGTCGTGATCACATCCAGTTCACCGACGGTGTCTCCTTGGCCATATTCACCCAGAATGCTCACGACACCGCTGTCGTCTTCGGCTATTGCGCGCAGACGACCGTTGATGACAATGTAAAAGCTGTCGCTGACATCTTCGGGACGCCAGAGGACTGTTCTCTAATGAAAAACGGACAAGAGAATAGACCTGAGATACTCACCTTGTCCAGCATTGACCTGCATCCAATCGAGAGAGGCATCGATCTGGAGGACTAAGCAAACTAGTTAATACAGCGACAAGGAAAGACATGTGTCCCCTACGTAGCGGAGACAACAGCGATATGAGCCGCTTCGCGAGAGTCAGTAGCACGATCGGACGTTTCTCGAGCAATCGCTCTAGTGCATTAGAAGGCAAGAAGCCAACATACGCATCCGTCTTCGCTTTGATATCCACATAGGAAGCGGTGTTGCATAGTGCCGCTGGAACGTGGATATGAGGATCAAAAGAGAATAGTCGAGCGCAGACACTTGCATAGATAACCAGCGATCCCTCCAGGCTTGACTGTGAACAGCAGCTTCTGTGCGTTCTGGTTGGTCTTTTTCCCCGGTGTTCGCCACGGCTCGGCATCGGCCACCGACGGCGTCGAGCTCTGGGGGTTCTTGCGGATGTGGGCTTCGTTTTGTGGCAGGAGAATATCCAGAAAACCTTGCAACTTGCGATCAGCACAGACTGCGACGTCACCAGACAGGCTCACCCTCGATAACATAGAACAAACCCGTGTTCAGCTCCCCTGCTTTAGCTAGGGAACTGCCCGCAGGAAAGAACAGGATCTCGACCTCGTTGTCCAAGCCACTCAAGTAGTCGTCGCCAGAGGCCACAGTCGACGAACCGCCAGTCAGACTCGAGCCGTCATCGCCGATGTCCAGTAACGAAAGGCTGCCGAACGACGAGGAGAAAAGATCTGACGATGAGCGGCGGCCCGGCTGAGCATCGTACGGCAGGAATGCAGGAGACGCCTCGACGCTTTCCGACGCGACCAGCGGAGGCTGGAGCAGTCCGATCGACTTGGCGATGCAGCTCATCACCTCGTCCCGCAGATCAAAGTCGGAGTCGAGCGACACACTCGACGAGCTGCGGCCGTGGATCGCGTCCGAAAGCATCGGGGTCTGCCGGGTGATGAGGGGAGTGTTCAGGATGCTGAACGTGCGTTTGAGGGCAGGATACGTGTCGTTGAGCTGTGCGGTTGAGGTCATGAGATCGCCTGCATTCACGCTCTGCCGCGAATGCGACCGCAGCGGTGCAGTGGACATGGGACGCGGTGCCGCCTTCTCTGTCGGTGCAGTCCGGACAGATTCTTCAGACGACGGTCGGGACGAAAACAGACTTTCGTTGGAAGAAAAGTAGTCGGCGCTTTCCCGTGTCTTTTTCCCGCCATCGAACCGCTGTCGCAGTTGCTCCAATCCACCGCCTTCATAAAACGACGCCGGCAGGGGATGGCAGGCAATATCGTTCATCGCCAGCTCCGTGCGCAGGATTTCAGATGTCAGCCCGAGGTACTTGTGGGCCGCGTTGAAAGTGACGCGTGCGAAGCGAGTGACAATAACTGCCACCAGGCATCAGTCGCCTGCTGTAGAATCCCGCGGCACGACGACTCACCTTGCACGATATGTCCCGTAGCTTTAGGAAACTTCTTCGTCAATCGACGGAATGCTTCAGCGGGGATCACGGCGAGGGTTGTGTCCTCTGTTGCTCTAGCCACCAGCCCTCGATAGAGGTTGGCAGGTCGATCGGGAGGGGGCGTCGGACGCGTCAGAGGCGGAGTTCGGTAGCTGCTTGGCTCGCCCACAAACAAGGGCGACATCGATCCGGAGCGCGGTGCAATCTCGTCGGCATGCACAGTGGAAGCCGATGACGAACTGGACATCCGTCTGAAGCGTTTGGCCGTGCCCGGCGAGCTTATCGACAGCCCCCCACTCAAAATCGAGTCCGAATCATCATGGTCATCCTGCCAGCTCATTTTCACGTCCTCCGTGAATAGAGACAGGATGGTGAACAGGCTGGACAGGGTGCCGCCGCTCCCAACCTCATTCAGTAGTTGGTATCCATTCATCTCTTCGTTCTCCCATGCACCGACTCGCTCTTCCGTCTCTTGGCCGGCATGTGCGAACACCTGCACCATCCCGTCGATCACGCAGTAGAAACTCTTGTCCTGATCCAGCGAGATACTGTCCCCGGCGATCAAGCGTCTTGTTTGTAGATGCCGTGCGAGTTCGTGGAAAACCTAGAAACCCGTTGAAAGGAATCAGAGAAGCGAGAGATGCGGCGTACGGGTTTTTCCAGCTAAGATGGGCTCGTCGATAACCGGTGTATGTGTGTGATGACTGAGACTCACGAATCCGAACACTCTCACAGCCTGCAGGAAATCGTCCAGATAGTTGTGGAAAGTCGGTGGCGGATCTGAAGATGTGAGTGGATATGGAAGACGCGGAGCGGTGCATACGCACCGGTATTCACGTCGGGATGCAGCTCGTTCGCGTCAGGCTTGACCAGGGGAGGCTCCTTAAGTTGCGTGTAGTTGTTGAGGTATCGGAAACGAATGAAATAGTTGAGGATGACCAAGGAGAGGAGAAACAACATCGCGAATGACCAGAAATTCAGCTGCAGTACGCGTCAAGAGCTTGGAACACTGGAACGAGAGGCAGATCGCACCGTAAGTGTGAGGAATAGGAGAGAATGGCGTAGATGAGCCGGGGGATCGTGATGGCAATAGTCATCGTGGCGAAAGCCAGGAGAGCCTTCGCCCACGAAAGGGCCCATACTGAACGTGGAGGTGTGAGAAGAAACAAGCTCGTCAAATGAACGAAACGACGTGCGTATGACCCAGAAACACGCTGAAATCAACGAGAGGAGTGGATGAGAGAAAATAGGTTGACTGCCCACATCGGCGCCTGCAGGTTCGGTAACTGCGACGTTCAGTGACATTGGAAGGGATGAACGTGCAGAGCCGCATGCGGTCACGACGTCAGCGGAGCATGCAAAACGCGCTCACGTGTTTGGCTCTTGATCAATAAGCTGATAACGCGTCGATTTTCTCTCAAGTATCAATGGAGTGTCGGCAAGATTGTACTGTGTTTTCGACGACCGGAGTACGGAGGTTTCATGACTACATCCAGCACGCGATAGCCCTTGATTGCCGCCTGATACCCAAATCGTCAGAGGTAATCAGACCAGATCGTGATGTCTAGAGCATTGTGCATACACGAGAGAAATCTAAGATTAACGGGCATTAAATACTCAATCTTTCACTAATATGAAACGTTCATCGGCCGACGCGAACTTTTTGTCGGTCGGGGGAGCGTAAGGAATACCGAAGGGCATGATGGCAGTCGAACGCCATGTTTTTGGGAAGCCAAAGGTAGCACAGATCTGTTCGGCAACGGCAGGGTCATAGGCGTTGTGCTGTAAGCTGGCACCCATCCCCTCCATGGCAAGAGCGGTCCAAACGGTGCTCTGGAGCATACCAGCGCTCTTCGCAGCCAGGATGGGGACGACCGGAGTGTATTTCCTGCATGAAGCAACACGGTCAGAAGGTCGGACAGTATCAGGTAAGGCAAAAACGCACGGAGGCATGCTTTCTATCAGTCCGTCCAATATGGCCTGATCATCCCAAAACAAAACGGATCCATAAGCAGCATGGAAGCCGTCAATTCGCTTTTGTACAGTTGCCAAGTGGTCGCCTTTAAGTGATGGTCAGCCACTGCGCATTGGTAATCGCATCAGGAACACCACCTTCGAGGCCTTTGGTGACTGATTCGCGGATTAACGACCACAGCTGTCGGTGCTTCTCGCCGACCATGAGAACGAGGCGCCCGCAGTTTGAGTCCCAGCCATAGGGAGTGTGCAAGAGACACTCCTTGAGAATGTATTCGATCTTGTCGTCTGGAATCGTGGACTTGTCTGTCAGAGCATATCTGGTCCGGCGGGTGGCGATAGCGGCGAGATAGCTGGCAGACATTCGCGTTCAGGGAGAATTCACTCGACGGTATGGTCTCTGGAAACACGCATTCTCGACTCTTTATCTTTCACCACACGGCGATAGCCGGGAGCGGGTCACCGCCCCCGATTATCCGTATGAAAACGCTGAGTCTTGCGGTTGTCCCACGGTAGCGTTGACGTAGTCATCCATTCGGTTCGACTGCGGATGAGATGTTCACACGATGGCTTGAAGGGTTGCTCGCTGGAACCTGCTCGCTTAAGCCCAATGACGTTCACATCAATAATGACAGGGCACGAACACGAAACTAGAGCACACACGAAGAGAATCTTATGCAAATCATTGAGATAGCACCTCAGCAATCTCACGAGGTCTCGAACATGTCGAGAGCATTAATAGTCAAAGATTGAAACCAGGTAACCCCCACCATGGCACCGCCACTGTTCTACGATCGCGCTTGACAGCGCCAAGCAGAGACAAGCAGAACGCGCAGCTTGTCTTCGTTCGTGTTGATGGTACGCCTGTATGTCTGCATTTTTACGGTTACACTGAAGAATCGCAGTCTTCTGAACTTAGATACACTGCCAACACACAGTTAGAGCACCGTGCGTGTTCTTCTACTTTGCGGTTTAGTCGGTGGACTGACCATGGTGTCCCATAGTCCACGCACGATACACGGGGACTGGTGAATATGCTGTGCTTCATTAGCTTCTGCGTCTGGTCTCAACCCTGTTTAGGTCACGCGGATGTCTCAAAATAGTACGCATGCTGCGGATATAATGGCAGGAATGCAGACTGACGGGTGCTCACGAAGCGACTGGGTGACGCATCAGCACAGGGATACGTTGGCGTCCATTGTGGGGCACCCCACGCTGACATCGTTTCTGGCGATCGCGGACGGGCAGTCGATTGGTCGCATCAAGTTTGAGATGGCAGAGGCGCGTTGTGTTGTCTAGCACATCATGTTCTACCCGACGCTTCGCTCACTAACCCTTTGTTTAGAAAATGCTGCAGCCTTGTGGCCCTCCCCCACGCAAAGACGAAGATTGACGCTTTGAAAGGGAGCAGTAGTCTGTAATGAGACCAGATATAGTAGTCCCTTTGTGCTTTGGATCTAGGCTTTGACCCATAAGATTGACATGGGAACTTTTCGCTCATCGGGCCGCAGACATCGGTTGATTGTAACGTCCCGATTAGGAAGCACATGTCCAAGCAAAGCGCATTGACTCTCGACTTCTTCCACGACCCCCCAACCATTGTACTATCCTTTCGCCAGGTGGCTTTGCCCTACCTACAATCCCTATAATGGCGGCCATGGATCTCGTTCGCTCGCTTTCGCTCGCCTCCTCGTCCCCGGAGTCGTCGTCTTTGCATGCTGCCTCGAAATCCCCAACTCCAGAGCCCCATTACAGACTATCCAGACTAAACACCCCACCTCTTATCCCCCCAGTCCGCTCCCCCTCTCTCATTTCTCGCTCTGTGTCTGCTGGGATGCCATTCGCCTTCAAGAGGACGGAATCGAAGGAAAAAGAGAGAGCTCGTGACATAGAGAAACAAAGCCGTTCCCCGGAGCCAGAGGACCGCCCTTCAAGTCGCTTTGGATTCACTCTTCGCAAGAAAGTGTCCCTGGCGTCGCTCAGACCGGGCGGGCACGATGAAACAATGCTGTCCCGCTCCGTTTCAGCAACCCCTAGTATCCCCCCCATTTCCGCCCCCACGGTGACCCCGCCCAGCGAGAACAAGGTGGCAATCGTACTCACTTCCTCAAATGAGGGAGAGGAAGATGAGGATATCAGTGATTTGGAGGAGGAGAAGACGGGCAAGGTTCCAGAGCGGTTCGTCAAGAGGAACGGGTTTAGGACGCGACACAAGATGAAGGTGCATCCGTACGATGCACCATATATGCTAGCGTTTGATCCAGTGGTCCTTGAGGCGTGCGTTTACGCGTATCCTTCCCATCTCATAGCATTACTGACTAGTCCCCGCAGAGAACGGTACGCGCATTACCTTCTTCGCCGGCTGCTACCCTCCGGCTCGCCGACATTCTACCTCTACTCGACGCCACCCTCGAGCGTGCTCGACCTTGGCTGCGGGCAAGGGATGTGGCTAAACGATGCTGCACGCCTCTGGCGCTCCACCAACTTTTTTGGTTTTGATCTGGTTGACGTGACGATACCTGCTATAACCGACGGCTCGCTTCCCAACGTTCGCTTCGTTCGCGGAGACTTCAACCAGTTCGCGTTGCCATTTTCCAAAGATCAATTCGAGCTCGTTCGCGTCGCCAATCTATCGCATTGCATTCCCCACGATAGGTGGGAGTTTGTTCTGCGTGAGATCTATCGGGTGCTGGTGCCTGATGGTAGATTGGAGTTTCTGGATGACCAGGCAGTCTATAGCTTTGGCGAGGCACCGACGGAGGAGGAGGAGGAGGAGGAGGATGTCGCGGCCCGAACATTAACACCCAACGCCAACACGCCACGGCCGCATCAACAAGTCTCAGAGTTCTTTGACTCGGACGAAGACGACGACAACGACGACGAAGAAGACGGGGTCATTATGACGCCCTCTTTCGACTCGGGCTCGGACTCTGCTTCTGAGCGGTCGTCTTTCACGGACGCATCTACCCTAATCGGGGATCCTTCTGAGCGGGGCTCAGTTGAACTGAAGAAGGGTCTGGCCCCGGGCGCTATTTCGCTCGAATACGAGCCTGTCCATCGTCCCTTCAGTGGCGTTGACCACTTGATTATCTCCATTCCGCCCTCTGAAAAACCATCCGTGGTCGTCAATGTTGTCGTTGATGGGCAAGACTCTCCGTCGACACCGATGGGTCCTCTGGATGCTTCTCTGGCCGCTGCAGCTGCCGTGCCTGTCCCCTTGACACCCACCACGGACGTCTCCGAGGCGCATGAAACCCCTTTCACTCGATGGACCACGCGCCGCACAGCATCTCGAGATCTGGAACGGGTGTTCCAGCGCATGATCGCGTCACAGCACAAGATGCATACCCGACCAGCTGACCTGGTAGGATCCCTGCTCTCGCGGATATTCGCTGAGGGCGAAGGGTCCGGGGGTCGGAAAGGAAAAGTGGATCAGCCGGAGACCATGCATCTGAAACTTGCGCCGATAGGGGCGGAAGAACGTCCAGGTGTAGTTGTCCGGGGGCTTGTCTCTCATGCCAAGCCGCGGATGAGCACCGATTCTGTGAGGAAGGTGCCGAAGGTCTCCGAATCGGCTAAAGTGCTGGATTCGCCTGTCCCCTCTGGTCTCAGTGCCAAAGCTGCTGAGCGCTTGGGCATCGTTGGTTCCGGTGCACCTCCGATCAAACGGCCGCGAGCGCTCTCAGCCGAGTTCTCAGACGATGAAGACGAATTTGACGAAGCAGATCGTCCGGCTGAGAATCGTTTCCCGCGACCGACTCTGGGGCGAGGCAGCTCGAGTTGGGTTGCCCCCGGTGAATGGGACGCGCCTCCAGTCCCTATCGCACGATCGAATGCCACTTTGCTCGTCGATTCTCCGAGCACAAAGACCATCGGTCCTTCTGCCAGCACTCGCACGATCACCGGTGCTAGCAGCACGAAGACCATCAAACAGATGACGCTGCGTCCGAGTTCAGCTTCACGGGCCGAGTCGACTCATAAAAGGGGTGGCTCGGCTGCGTCGACGCACAGCACATTGAGCGTAGCCTCCGGGTCCTGGAATGAAGCGGATTCCGGGCCGCCACGATACTCAAGCGGGCGTAGACAGCATCCTGGGTTGATTCTCTGGCCGTCGACGTTCATACCAGTCCCACCGCTCGAGTTGGAGATGCACGCCACGCGACACATGCAGACGCTTCTTGCCTGCAAGCCTGCTTTGGCTGAATTCGTCGCAGCACATGTTGATCCCGTGACTGGTCAGCCAGTTGTTTCGGACCAAGAGTTCGAAGACGCTATTTGGGACTACGAATGGTTTGTTTATGGAATTATGTGCTGCCTCTGTTCTGATTCACATGACAGTTTCCGTCGTCCGAGGTACAACTGGCCTGAGCTGCCCGAAGCTCGTTTAGAAGAAGAAACCGAAGAAGACACGTTTCCGCTGTCTACCGCCCGCAGCAGTCACCATGCTGCTGCCGGCGCACCGCCGAAGATGGAGACTCCAGTTGAAAAGATCACTGGACGTGCTCCATTTGAACAATTTGAGCTCACCCATGTTCGGACAATACGCGTTCTCGGTGCTGTCAAGGGCGGTGTTTGATCTGCCTTGACTTGGACTCTCTTGTTTTTACGACACGATCCTTGACGATTACTTGAGTGGCCTTGATCCGCCACCCTCACGCTCCTTGCATCTCTGTACTCTCTCGCACTCTCACTTTCGTTTTTGTCTCGCAGTCATCCCTTGCATCGCATTCGGAGTTTCCTTTACATTATCTTGTTTATTTTGTAGACTACGATACTTTCTTGTACTAGAACAAAGGTGGAATGGAGTTGTCTCGATACTTGGAACTGACCAAAGTGTACTGTCCATCTGTATCACATGCAGCTAGTTAGTTGTGATCGTGATCCCATCACGATCAACACAACTTGCCTTAGGTGCACTCGAATTTTGCTTGACTTGTATATTGCTCTAACCGCTCACCCTCCAGTCACCTTCTGACTCATTCCCCAAAACTTACAATGAGTTACGTCGCTAAGGGAGAAAAGGAATACGACGCCACGGGTGCCCCCGTCCCCGGCGTGAAACTCCACAAAATTCGTATCACGCTCACCAGCAGCAACGTCAAGAACCTCGAGAAGTGTGCGTTGGATTGACTTGTTTCTGCGAGAGTAATCCGGAATGAACGAGCGCCGAACAGTCTCCACCGACTTGATTAACCGTGCCAAGGACAAGCAGCTCCGTGTCAAGGGCCCCGTGCGTCTCCCGACGAAGGTCCTCCGCATCAGCACCCGCAAGACTGTGCGTACTTGCTCTACTGCTTCTTGTTCAGATCCAGTCGATCCTGAGCTTCTTGTGTGTGGATATAGCCTTGTGGTGAGGGTTCGAAGACCTGGGACGCGTATGAGCTCAAGGTGCACAAGCGCCTGATCGATTTGCACTCCTCGAGCGAGATCGTCAAGCAGATCGTGCGTCGCTTCCCTTGGTCTCCTTCCTTCCGCGGTCTGACTCTGCTATCCAGACCAGCATCAGCCTGGAGCCTGGTGTCGAGGTCGAGGTTACCATCTCCGCTTAGATTTGGTTGCTTGTCTCGGTTCTTTACGCTGCATGCGGTGTGACTATGATATGCTCATTTTATGCTTGCATGACGATTTACTCGCGCTCTTGGTTCGATTGTTTGTCGGTTCATCATTGACACGAAGTGCGCAAGGTCGCGAATTGGCTGTGAGATGATTACGTTAGAGCACATAGAACCGCAGGATACACAACTGATATATACGCGAAGTTGCAGAGCGTACGACATAATAGCGATAGCGGTAAGTAGCAGAGAGTACTTAGATAGTTAGTCACTTATATACAGGGCGAATTACGGTCGATACAGACGAGATAGCATTCACAGACGAGAAGAACAGCGAGCGAGCGAGCGAGGACATGTACGTGGATGACATGCAGAGTGGGCAAAGCGCACAGTTGGAGATAGAAAACGAATGAAAGAAGACCCTAGTACCAGTTCATGAGATGAGGGTTTGAGTCCGGGGCCGGGAAATCGGTGCTTCCTCTCGTTGGGAAGTCACCACTCGGAATCGGTGGCCGATGGAGAGCAGACGTCGCAACGGCATATTGAGCAGCGGCTGCAGCCAAGGCAGGAGGGGGAGGACCTCGAGTCATGGGTGCCATCGAGGTTGCGCTGTGTGGCATGTTTGCCGTCGTCGGATGCACAGGAGGCGCATAGTAGTGTGAAGAAGTGTTCGGTGGCGGCCATGGCGGGGTGCCCATCGCGGCGGACAGTGAACTTTCACCTGTTGAGACAACGGGATGGGGTGCGCTGGGGGGTCCGGCCGGGTATTGAGCTCGCACGGACGGTGGAGGCATAACTTCAGACCCATACTGCAACGCCGCTGGCTTCTTTTGAGTGAACCGTTTATCGGTCTCATCGGAAACATGACTCTTTCGGGTTCCAGCAATCGCCACGCCTCTCACCCTGCCTCCCGTGGAAGTCAGGCGCACTTTGTTGGGCACCGGCCTAGTGCCAAACACTTCAGAGCCTGGTGTGGTACCGATTGGTCCACCCATCGACAATGAAGCGATCACTTGGTCTGATTCTCCCCTATACAGAGGAGTTCCATCCAGAGTATGCTATGCATTTTCGCGAAGTCAGCTTCGTCTTTGATTGAAAGGGCGGGAGCTGACCTCAATCTTGGGTGGACATCGGAAGGCGGTAGCCTCCAGTAGTTCCGGGTCGATCGTAAACGCAGCAAGTTCGGGAACCGAAGACGGTGCGCGCAATCTACCGGCCTCGACGTCTGACGGCCGATAGTACGCGATCAAGTGAATAGTCGTTCCTGATGCAGTCTTGAGCGAAAAGGTCTCATCGAATATACGTGAGCTAGTGACCAGACAAGGATATGTACGCCACACCTTCTTCATGAGGCTATCGTCCTTGAACATCTTCGAATTTGTCAAACTGCCGAGTAGATTGCGTTCACGCGCAGGGTTGACTCCTCGTGTTGAGCCCAAGAGGCTTTTAGGCCGGCTGAGCTTGTCGCCACGGGGTCGAGAAACAGGCGGCTGAGTGGGTACGAACATATCTGCCTGGGTTATGGTCTTCTCATCTTCATCCGCTTCTGCATCCTCGTCGTCCTCCAGCTCATCGCCCTCCGGCCCCCAAGGCCTCTTCCTCTTCCCTCTGTTTTCCTGCCTGCCCGGCTCGCGCTCGCGCTCCCGATAGAGCATGAAGTTTCCCAACATTCTCGACGCACTCCAAACATAGCCATCCGTCCACCTTTTGATCCCGCTTTCCGGTTCCTGAAACACAAATACTGCGCCACTCGCAATGAGTGAGGTACGCTCGTCGGGAGATAGTCTCCGTGGGACGAAAGGAATAAAGCCGCGCCGCGCCGCGCCGATGACCACCAGGGCGTCATGCGTAGAGGCGATAAAGCCATGGTAGGGGGGTTGTTTCAAAGGCGCGTTGGTCTTCGCGGTGGAGGTATTGATCTTTGTATTTCTGGGGTCGGGCATTCCAGCCGATGATGGAGAATAGAGTTTCCCGCTGCGTGCGTACGTCAAGCGAGGTCGGAATGGAGGAGGCCAAGACGGTGCCAAACCTTATTTTGAGGTCCCCAATGCAATCGATCCGGTACGGAGAGCCTGTCCAACAGCAAACAGATGTGGTCGACCTGGAATCGGAGCGCGGCTCCCACGTCAGGCGGGCCTGAAAGGGCCCTCGACGGCGTCTGTGGCGGTCAACCCGAAGGTTTGTGTGCTTTCTTGCTAATCACCGACACGCTTAGATCATCAGATCGGAAATCATGCCGGAATCAGAGGCTGTTCTCCTCGTCATACCTACCACTCATCCGTCGTCTTAACTGCCTCTTCATTGGCGCCACGACCATGTTCAAGAGCGCGGCAACAAAAATCGCTCACAACAGCACCCTGACCTCCCTCAGCTTGGGGGGTAACAAGGATCTTCGGCCTCTGCAGGACTTGATCACAGCCGAGAAGGCCGTGCTTATATCGTATGCCCCACTTTCGGTGTAATTACACTCGACAGGCTGATGGATCTGGGCCTTGGTTGCTCTCTACAGGTTACAGAAGCTTAGTGTCGATCTGAGCAAGGCGGGAGACTCACTTCGGGCGTGGGGACAGGGCGAGGGCGATGATTTGGGAGTGAGTGGTGCCCAGCGCATCTCATCTCGAGCGAGACGTAATGCTGACCATTATCATTCCTCTCATAACCTTCTATGATCATTTTGCTGCTCTTAGGATGTACTCACGGCTTCGTCCACGATCCTCTCACTCTGGTCGACGGCGCTGACAGCTTACGCATCACGCGAGCATGCTATTCGAGATGTACGTTCCGAGCAATATCTCGTCCTGTCTTCCACCTCGTCAAACATGGCGCTCGTCCACTTGTGCCATCTCAACGCACTGACTGACTTCATCCCAGCAACTCAAGCAAATCAGAACTCGCGAAGAAGCCCTCGATGAGCTTAAACGAAGACGCAAAGCCACTCATGCTCGAGCCGATAGTGCCGAGAAGAAGTTGAACAAGATGGGACCGGAGCACAAGAATTTGGGCGCGCAGACAGAGCTGCTTACGGGATTGCAAGCGCAGATTCGTTCTATGGATGGTGAGGCAAAGCTTCAGAGCAATTATCTATTTAACTTTGAGCAGTGGATATCATGAATGAAGAGACCTCTTTGTCAGACTTCAAGAGAAGTGCATCACGCGCTTTCCTGGGGCTGAAGTTCGGAGGATTGATGGAATGCTGCGAGAAGGGGTGCATCATCGCAGAGTCGGGTCGGTCAGTTGTCATGGTACGTCTGCGCACTTTTAGCCAGCTCTCAATCGCGCGTCCTACTTCGACATGTAGGAAATCCCTGAAGACACGACTCCGCCCGGGATGCCGCGCGCTCCATACGTGGGATATCAGCGTGCCTCCGATTACGTTGCAGAGGCCGAACGATGCGTAAACGAAGTCATCTTCACGCCGCTTCCATCTGGCGGGGTGCCCTCTGTCCCTCGGATCTCGACTGGAGTTGACGACCGGGCCAGCATGGCTGGAAGCTTTCTCCCACCAATCGCAGGTGGAAGTGTCATGGGCAGTCTCTCCGCTATCGGGATGCAGAATACGGGTATGAGCGCGTTCAGCGGCGTCAGCGGAGACGGGCTTCCTCCAACAAATCCCAGCCCGGCTTTCCTCCCACCTCCAGATGTTGGCAGTGGTGGTTTTATGGACAATGCGAGCCAGGGCGGATATCAGCCGCCTCTTTCTCCTCCAGGCAGTGGGTTCGCACCTTCGTCTCCTGGTGGCTATGCCCCTCCTTCGGGACCACCCCCGCCATCCGCATTCAATCCGTACGTTCCAGCTGAGGCAGAGCCGCCTCGAGAGGAGGTGGGGGTAATAGGGGGATCTGTGATTGGCGGATCATCGTCTGGAGGGACGGCTGGACCAGGTCTTGTAGGGGGTGGCCATTTCGCCACTTTCCCTGTACGCAGCAGAGGCCTTTCGCTCCGGGATGACAACGCGGGTGTTGTGGCTCCCAGCAGTTACTCGTACTCAGTCGACGGGCCTCCGTCCCTGGGCAGCTCTTCTCGAAAGGACTCGAGTGGAGATTTTATGAATGCTGTGATGGGTGCCGGAGAGTTCGGGACGTCAGTGGAATCTCCGGTCCAGGAAGGATCGAGCTCGCAGCCGTTCGTAGGCGTTTCAAATTCGCAGGTCAATGCCATGGCGAGGGTCACTTCGAAACAAGAAGAGCGAGAGCAGGAGCTTCAGAGAAGGACCTCAGAAGAGCCGGCTCCTGCGTATGTCGATTACGCGGAGCAGGCGAACGAGGAATCAGCAGCGGTCCCAATCGCGCCTACTATGTCGCCGGTGCAATCTGTTCACGCACAACCTCCTTCACCGATGCCTACTTCCCCCACGCACAAGCATTCCACATCTGATCCTGCTGGTCCCCCGCCGGGCGCAGCTGCCCCGGTTGTCGACACAGTCTGGACGGGCGAAAATCTCGCCACTTTCGATCCGCAAGCCATGAACGAGGGGGACCGAACGTCGTCATATTCGGATATTGGGCTGGCATATATGAGCATGGACGATGCTCCTGTCGAGGGCGAAAGTGAGCAGCAGCGAGAAGCGAGATTGTCGAGGCATGTTAGGTTTGGCCCGGAAGGAGTTTTTGGTGAAACAGGTGCGGCGATAGACCAGCCGTCTGGCATGTGCTGACGGAGATGATAGAACCGCCTATGCGAAGTCGTCAGAACTCCTCACCCGTTCCACCAGGCTCGGCTCTGAAGAACAAACGTATTCCGCCACCTGCGTTTGTCGATCGGGATGAGGAAGAGCGTGCTCTGAACGCTGCAGCTGCCAGAGAGATTACTTTGGAGATAGATGCATTGAGATCGAGCCATGCCCAAGACCATCCTTCGTCGCTTCAGCCCGCATCTCCGGTCGCCCCTCCTCCGCAGACTCACTTTGTGCCTCCTCCCAAACTCTCGTACAGTGTTTCGCCACCTCCAAGAGAGGTTTCGCCGTCGGTTCCAGCCAAAGCGCCGTCGATTGAAATCGAGCCTGTCCAGCACACAACGCCGTCTTGGGCCATGTCGCCTGTCCTTCCGGCAGCTTCCGATGCACTGCCGGGCAGTCCATCGTCGCTTCGTGGCGCAGCGCCCTGGGCGACTCGGTCAACGTCTTCGCTGAACAGTGGCGGTGTACCGGCCGGTGCGCGGACCATCTCGGCTGCTGCGTTCCGGCGCCCGGTGCACAAATCGAGCGACTCTGGGGATGTCAGCTCGCTGGCGCTGAGGAAGCGGCTTCCGGCAAGCCCGTATCCAGAGCAGAGAGTCGCGAGCCAGAATTTGGATTCGTTCGATTACATCAGTGCTTATGGGCGAGATTCACAGGCCTTTTTCGACGACGAGGCGGCTGCGAGCGAACATAATGGAATTCGGTGAAAGGACACTGCCCGGTACTAATGTCTATGGCTATGTTATGTACGAACCATTCCTGCAAACCTTATGGATATGATCACTGTCGCGTCACGACCTGTCACAGTCGGCGCGTTTTGTCACATGCGGGGCATTCGGTTATAATCGGGCCGACAGTGCGGCGTCAGTGTGAAAGCATTTCCCCGTCGTAAACGACGTCAGTTAGTCAAACACCCACTGGCGCCGACCCGGTAATTTGAATCCGCTTCTCGGATACAACCAAAGCCCTCATCCTCGCACCATGTTGCCTCGTCGCAGCCTCAGTGCGAGCGCAGCACGCTTTGTACGTGGCATGTCATCAGCTTCCCCACAATCGTATTCCTTGCCCGTCCAACCACTTTCTCTGGACGAGGAAACCCGACAATTCGATGCCCGGGTCTCAGAAATGAACGAATTCTTTTCCCTTCCACGGTTTAGCCAGACCAAACGTCCGTACACTCCAGCGGACGTCGCAGTGAAACAGGGCTCGCTGCCCGTCCTGCCGCTCCCGTCGACGCTCCTAGCCGACAAACTGTACGCTTTGCTCACCCAGGCTGCGAGCGAGGGCAAGCCTGTGCATACGATGGGTGCCATTGACCCGGTGCAAATGACGCAGATGGCAGCGAACCAGGAGGTCGTGTATGTCTCGGGATGGGCGGCGAGCAGCGTGTTGACGGCGGGGAGCAACGAGGTCGGACCGGATCTGGGAGACTACCCGTACACAACCGTACCGAATCAAGTGCATCGGATCTTCAAGGCGCAGCAGTTGCATGACAAGAAGCATTATGATGAGCGGATGCTGGCCACTCCTGAAGCGCGCGCAAAGATGAAGTATATCGACTACTTGCGGCCTATCATTGCAGACGGAGATACCGGGTTTGTTCTGTCAGAAACGTACGGCCTTTGGCTGACTTGGATGCTCAGACATGGAGGTCTTTCGGCTGTATTAAAGCTGGTAAAACTGTTTGCCGAATCAGTGAGTGAACTACGTATGCTATCTATACAATGTGCTAATTCTCAAGGGCGCATCCGGAATACACTTAGAGGACCAACTTCATGGCGGCAAGAAAGTGAGGCTTGTCCTCCGTGCTTCTACAGTGCTTGACCTTCGCGTCTAGTGCGGGCATCTCGGCGGAAAAGTCGTCGTCCCTACCTCGACACACATCTCTCGACTCGTTGCGGCTCGATTCCAGCTTGATCTAATGAAATCCACCATGCTTACTATCGCCCGCACCGATTCCGAGTCCGCAAAACTGCTTTCGTCGTCTGTTGATTCGGCCGACCACGAATATATCCAGGGCACAACCAACAGGAAGGGCAAGGGCTTGTCACAGGTTCTCGCTGAGGCCGAGACGAACGGTGCGACGGGTCCGGAAATCGATGCTTTGGAGCAGAGGTGGATGAATGAGAATCCGTTGTGCACCTTCAATGAAGGTAGGGTCCGCATCTCCAATGTGCGCTGGCTGATTCTGGAACTCGCAGCGGTCGAGAAAGCTGTTCAACAGTCATTGATTGAGGACAAAGACACCCAATATCAGGCTTACCTCAAGTCGGTCGACGGGAAGTCGCACTATGAAGCGAGGGAGCTCGCGGCGGAAATTCTTGGGGAGCCGGTATTCTGGGATTGTGATCGTGAGACTCCTACGCCGTGTCTCGTTTCCGTGTTGATTTCGATTTTCAAAGTTCCACGAACCAGGGAAGGATACTACCGAACAACAGGTGGAACAGAAGCTGCAATTAAACGCGCGCTCGCGTTCGCACCTTACGCAGATATGATCTGGTTGGAAACCAAGGAGCCTGATCTTGAGCAGGCACGGTACTTTGCACGCAAGATCCGAGAAAAGTTCCCTGGAAAGTTCGTGTTCCTGTTGCCATTCTTGCGAGCTGTTGACATTTGTACACAGATGGTTTGTTTACAACTTG